GGGGGGGGGGGGTCGGTGGGGGATAGGAAGCATTCGGGTTGTGTAATGTTGCGTCACGCTGGAGGCCTTGCCGAAGTCGAAGTCGGAGTCCAATAAGGATATCGACCCCTGAGAATTACACAACGCAGCCGCGGGTAGGTACCGGTACGAGATGGGTTTTGAGGGGACCCGAATACCCGGTGGCCGGTGCACCGGCCCGGCCGACGCGAGGGCGACGCGGTGCCCCACTGACCAGTGACCAGTGACTTCCGAGGGCCCACGGGATCTCGTGCAAGGCCGTCTCCATGCCGGATCATGGAAGAATTTTGGGAACCTCTCAAGGTCTCGTTGCAGCCAAGTTTCCTACTCCTTGCCCGGCCGAGATGACAACACCAGCGGACTGATTATTGAAATTGATGGACAAAGCTATAGACAAAGCTATAGACAAAGCAGACATAGGGAGTATGGAGCGAACCTGCTGGTTGAAATGTGTGGTTCTTATAGACTAAGGGAGAACATGATAGACTATAACTGTCGGGTCTCTCGTGGGTTGCCGTTAGTTAGTCTATTGCCCACCTCCTTTGTCCATTGCAACCACCCGCTTCCACCAATAGGATCTCTCCATATCTCTTTTGTCTCCTTTGTCTATAGTTTTGTCTATTAATTTCAATAATCGGTCCGCTGGGTGGATAGGGCGCTGGAATACTTTATCACCACGGAAGGATCGCCTCGTTATTATCACTGAAAAAAAAAAAAAAACTCCAGCTGGGGAAGCCGTACTTTCGGGCTACATAGACATACCGTCCGCTTTCCGGGCTCAGAGGCTGAAAGTTCCGAGCATAGCAGCCGGAGCAGTCGAAGCTACAGCTCTAGCACCCGGAACTTTCGACCTCTGAACCCGGAACGGACGGTATGTCCATATAGCCCCTAACTTTTTCTTTTCAGTGTAGCTCAGCCATTTTAGGCTTTACAAAGCTCTTAAGGCGAGACACAAGAGACTGTTCATTGGTGTCTTAGCGATGGTAGAAGCTTTTACTTTTGGGACTCTAACATTTAACTGTTGACTTACGTACTGGGTGGATGTTGGACGACGTGTTGGGTATTTCGTTTGGCAAATATACCGAGGTTCGGCAAACTTGTTTGGCGCATTATGTTTCCCGCAGCTCATCATGCACATAGTAGGTCCGTCTTCAGCCGAAAAAAGGGTGATGACTGTTGCTCCCTTATAATATTGACCATTAAGAAGTGTTGAATCCCCGGAAATAAAATTTTCCATCCGTCGCCAAGGAACGAGTGGAGTCTCTTGTCTTGTCTCTACTTGGGGCAAAAAAAAAAAAAAAAAAAAAAAAAATGGCAGACGTTGCATGCAGATAGTTCAAAAAAGCATTTATTTGTTTGTTCCACAGTGAAAATTACTCTAGTAGGCGTATGTTGGCAGTCTTGAAATAAATTTTTGTGCGTCACATTTGAAAAAAAAAATATTCTAAACTTGAACTCTCTGCTGTCGAAAGGTTGGTAACAAGTGAAGCAGGTGATAAACGGCAAGGGTTGGCAAGGTACCCCCTCCCCCAAAAGTTTTGGGAAATGAATCGAACACCTTAATAATCGATTCTTTACCATAGCTTCTAATGGGGACGATAGTCGGTCATTCACGTCTTGCTACTGAATCATAATGCTGGCGCTTACCAGGTTTTGGAATTTCCTCTACCTATGTGAGGAATAATTTTCTGCGACCGCCTGATTTTCAGTGAGAGAAAGCTCTCTCAACGCTCACTTTATAATTTGCTCGGTTATAATTTTGACGGTCCAGAGCTCGGCTAATTAATTTGGATTCCCTCTCTCGCTTTTACATCGAGTCATGTCCGTGGAATATGATGACAGCCACCGATTTTTCGCTCGTTAATGGCCTATCAAGTCCGTCGGGTGCTATGCTACCATTGCAGGAGCTGCAAACTCGAGCCAAATCGCTTGAAAATTAGTTCCCGCCCCAATTCCGAGAGCCAAGCTGTTCACTGCTGTACTGAGGAAGAACGCCGTATGAAAGTTCGAGAGTAGCCAAATTTCTCCGGATGAAACACATACCTACTTTTAAGGAAAGTTATAGATCATCTCCTTTGAAATTCCCAGACGTTTTAGTTTAAACTGCGAACAAAATTGTCTGAAAAAATGGAAGAAGAATATTCACAACTTTCTCAATAAATTCGTATTTTATCGGAGGGAATTTGGCAACGCTTGAAGGTTCATACGGCGTTTTCTCTTAGCACAACAGTACAGGAAAATGGACGAGGACGATGAAGTTGACCCCTTTCTGGGAAACTATACAACTATAAAAGCAATCAAGTCATTGAAATTAAATTAATTGAGGGGCTTGAAGGACAAGGCACATAAGTGCAGTTTCTAAAAAAAATTAGATGCTTATTTGAAGTAAAACAAGGCTTACTGCACATTCTGTGAAAAATTCGCTCCAAAATTCCAATTTTTAAGCATCGAAAAGTCAGTTTGAACTTTTTTCCGCGATAAGGATCCATGTAATTTCGAAACTTCAAACACGTGTTTCTATAAATAGCAAAAATTGCACTTATGCACCTTGTCTTCCAAGCCCCTCAATTCTACTTTCATAAAGTTAAGTTAATCCGCAAATAGATTTCAATAATTGGAGGGCGCATCATTGAAATATGGCCAATACGCCAGGATAGTTTCAGATTCCTTGCATAAATAGACATACTCAATTTGAGAGTGTCTATTTCAAAACGTTTTTTGAAAAAAAAAATAAAGCTACGATAAAACTTTACACATTTGTGCCATTAGTTCCTCCATACAGGAAGGTACATACTGTCATGAATGGGCCAAAATCGACGGTTTCTAGCTCCAAAGTGAATCAAGTTCAACACAAAGACCATTGACCTTGGAAATTCATTGATGTGAGATCGATAATAATTTTCGCAAAAATTCGAAAGTCATTGAGCCTAAGTCGAGGGGACGTAGAGCTGAATGGGAGATAGAATGACCCTTCCTATAAATAGATTCCCGAAATTGAGAAGAAGGGACGCGTTGAGGATACTGAATTTCGAGGGTGATGACAAAGAACAAGTCACGAAAACCCTCCCTAACTTCCGCGGGAAACTTAGCAGAGACACGTGCGTAAGTGGATAAAGTTAAAATTATCACGTTTAGTTTTTGACGCCATGCTGCTCACAGCATGTCATCGAGTAAGCACGTAAGTTTTAAGTCGAAACTCAATCAATTTTTGGCGATATTTTTCTATTATGCTCCTTTCTTCCTCCGTTAATTTTGGATAGGAGTTAATTTCAGTTACTTTCGTTGCACTAATTGGGTTTTAGGTACGTGAAATGTTTAGCCATTTCAGTCATTTTACCAAGTGACTAGGCAGTTAATCAATCTTTTTTTCATTTTTTTCATTTTTTATTTTTTTTAAATGGCCTTCACTGATAAAAACCACAGGCGACTGTGTTTTTCAATTTTTCCCCCGATCCTTCTTCCGAGACTCAGTACAATTTCTGAACATTTCCGGTTCTCAGAAGATTACGCAAAAGTCTTCATTGGTTTATCTGCTTATAGGGCCGGTAAAATTGCTGTTCCGACAAAAAGTAACATTTGAGGGGCTTGGAGGACAAGCACGGTGCCCCTGAACTCACTTTAAACGCGACTTTGTTGTACATCAAAAATTCAAGTTGGAGGTTGTAGTGGGGTACTCCCTGATGGGTTTTTGGGCAATTTCGAAATAGGTTGTCGGAGCTCCTCGAAAAATAATCGCATTTTTGTGGTTTTTTAGGGGTAAAATAGCAAAATTGGCCTCCGGGCGACAAATTAAACTCCCTCTCCCTCATCCTTGCCTTNACCGTGCAAGGCGCATTAATGCAGTCGTTGCTATTTTGAGAAATACGTGTTTGAAGTGTGGATCCTTATGGCGGAAAGAAAGTTCAAACAGACTTTTTGATGCGTAAAAATTGGACTTTGGAAGCGAATATTTCACAGAGTATGCGTTAAGACTAGTTTTACATGAAATCATTAATATCTCAATGTTTTAAAAACTGCACTTATGCGCCTTGTCCTCCAAGCCCCTCATTTATACCTAGGCATTTGACAAAATTCCTGATTTGATTATTTGCCTTTACACATACTATATCATAATTCACACCATGTCTAATGATCAATTGGGCAAAAAAGTGACATTTTTTAAAATGGTCTTCACCGATAAAAACTACAGGTGACCGTTTTTTTCGATTTTTCCCCAATCCTTCGTCCGAGACTCGCAGTACAACCCCTGATAATGTCCGGTTCTCAGGAGATCACCCATCTTCATTTGTTTCTGCTTACTGGGCCGGTAAAATCGCTGCTCATAATCAGACGAAAAGACACATTTATAATTTTCAAAGTGGTGGGGGCCCCAAGGCAATTGCCCCTGCACTGGTTCAAATGGACAAAACCCGATGGCAGGACTCTAGGCGATCCAAGAGCTGCGTCCAAGAGATCAGCTGCCGCAGCGCACCAGTCCACGAAGCCGCATTCGCCGCGCGGCCAGCTCCGTGGCCCTATTCCGCAACGCTCTGCCTCTACTTCGCCGTGGCCGCTTCAGCCTTCCTCGCTCCTCCGACTCACTTTCTTCCTCATTCAAAGAGCTATCACCCACCAGGAAGGTCAAACTTTCCATCTCCGTACCTTTTTCCAGTCCATCGCGCGCTGTAGCCCTCGTATCAGTGCAACCGCGAGTTTCCCCACGTTTTTCGGATTAGTTCGGCGCGGATCAGTGGCTCAAAGTTTACCTGTGGTATGTACCCAATCGGATTATTATTCGTTGGTTTTGGGTGGAAGAAGTCGTTCTTGCAAGTGTTTTTTTTTTGGTGGCAGTTTTATGCACCTGTTCTGACGATTGCGCACGAAAATTTCGTCGAAAAATCAGTTTTGATGGTGTGATAGATTTGGAAGAAGAGCGAGGCTTTAAAAAAAAAAATACTGAAAATTTTAATTAAGAGACATTTTCAGCAAAAACCCGTCGAATGTTTCCTCCGCAAGTTTTTTTTTCTCTTTTCACTTTTAATTTTACGGTTTGACAAAATCAAATTTAGATAATAATATTTTAAACCGTGTTAACAAAAAAATAAAATAAAATTAATTACTTGGTAGGTTCTGACTGATTTTTATTAGTTTTGCTGTAGGGACTAATTACTAAAGTGTTTAATGGTACTAGAGCCCACGATGTAGTATTTGCACCCAAGACTTTTTTTCTTGTTAGTGGAATTAAATATTCCCTATTTGAGAAAAGTCGCTATTCAATTTGTCCAAAGGTTGAGCAGGCTGTTCCTCCTTTTCCTCTTTTCTCTTCATTTGTTCCTACTTTCCCCATCTTGTTTTTCTCCTTGTTTCATCTTCATTTTTTTAGTAATTTCTTATTTACAAATAAATAAAACTATTTTGTTGTCATAATATCAAAATTCTAGAAGCTCTAAGTGTAACTCCACTATAATTTTCAAAAGAACGCAGACCAACTTAAACGTGTAATACTTGTAAGAAAAAGTTGGAAATCGATGCGTGTAGTGTTCTAATAAAAAAAAAAAAATCGAGAAGACAAGATATTTTAAAGAAACTGTAAAAGTCACGACTATAAGTAATTTTTACGCTTTCTGATATAATGCACGACTAAATAGCAATACTTTTTTTTAAAAAAGTATATTACCGGCTTAAAATGACTTCCTTTTGATTCCATTATAAAAATGATAGAAACAGAGGGAAGTGAACCCAAAGACTGTCTCACTGCAATGGATTCTTCATACTTAACGAAATAAATTTTCACAAAATTGTCATTCCGCATCCAATATTTTCATATTAAAGCACTCTCCATAATGGAGCCGTAATTCAAAGATAGATTTTGTCCACAAAATCTAAGGTTGATAACCGGGACCCAAATATAGTTATGAGATCCGTAAAAGCATAAAATAAGGTATTGCTGAAAGAAGGAAACAATGAGGTAAAGTGCCTTTTATAACCATTTTAGTCATGGGATGATCATGACGGTATATGATACGATAAACGTAGCGCATAGGTTGTGACTCCTTGATGCAACTATTCGTGCTCTAAGGATGTCCTCGTTGCATACACAGATGATTGAAGGCGCTGTGGTTTCTCTTACCCAGGCGGCGGCTGCGCGAGGGACGCGCGCCAATGATAAAGGCACTATTTTTAGTGGAGAAAAACATGAAAGAAAATTTCATGATTAAAGTGATCACGATAGAACAGAGATCATCTGTTGAGATGATTTTAATATACAACGAAAACATTTTTTAGGGTGCACTTACGCAGAATGGTCGAGACACACAACTTTGAATATTTTAAATTTTAATATTTAGGAGGTGGTAGGGGGAGGGGGCTGGAGAAATGGACCTGATCAATTCACGATATTAAAACTGGCAGCGCTGTAAATTATGGGTACCCGGGTAAATAATTGAGTTCAACACAGAGCAAGAGCGTATGACATAATTTGTAGCGCGTAACACTTCCGATGGATTCTCAGCCGGTTCTCTTCAACGTGTGTCGCAAACAGAGTTAAAATTTACTCTCGTCGGGATTAAGTTATTTTGTAGACGTGATTTTTTTCTCTTCTTTTTCTTGTATTACATTTGTTTGTACATGACGAAGGCAATTTGAATATCGATGGCTGAACAGTGGAATCGCGTACCTCCGTTTGCGACGTAGCAGACTTCCTGTCATACTTTATTTTTTTCGATATTTTTCTTCTCTATGGGAAGAATATTCTGTGAAAATTTCAAGCCACAATGTTGCTTCGGTTTCCTTTTAAAAAATAAAATAGGAGCGGAGATTTTCAAACACCGCAACCGATACACGCACTTTTGAAGTTTCACCATCGATATACTGCCGTGCTAAGGAAGAACGCCGTATGAACATTCGAGAGTCGCCGAATTTCCTCCGGTAAAATGATTATTGTAGGGTAAAGTTGTGCATTTTTCCTTGAAATTTTCCGGAAATTTGTGTAAAATTGCGAAAACATTTATCTGAAACCCTTGACGAGAAACATACATAAATTTACTAGGAAATTAAATTTTTATCAAAGGAAATTTGGCAACGCCTGATAATTCTACGGCGTTTTTACTTATTACGGCAGCATAGTAAGTTTAATCACTTAGCACGACAGTATTGTCGGACATTATTTCGATACTCTTTGATTTTTACCCATTGTGCGCTGGTCCTGCGCTTGTGCCAATGCAGACTCTTCATGCTCGGGAGTACTAACCTGGACTGGAACAACCATAAACTTCCTCATACATAGGCGCAGGCGTGTAACGGTCAGACATCAGAACGTGCCTTTTGTATTTTGTCGATGAAAACATTACGTTATCGGGCTACTAGATTTACTTCCATTTTACTGACACTTGACAAGAACGTGCGTAACAACACTCTGCAGTGAACCCTGTCCTTCGTATATTTTAATGATTTTCCGGGCTCATCTCAATGTGTACTTACGCCCTTATGTCAGCCAAGCGACGATTTTACTGACACTTGACAGGAACGTGCGTAACGTAACCTAGATCCTTCTTACAGTGGCGTAACGGACTTCCGCTGGGCCCCCCCGCAAAAATTTTTCTAGCCCCCCCCCCCTTGTCGATAAAATTCCAAAATTATTCCCCCCCCTCCTGCCCTTTCCCATTGTTTTGCCCGAGACATCTCAAATCACGGACTTGGAATGCCTCACCCCTCACCGTCCCGGATCCCTTACCCGATTAACTGGGGCCCCAAAAGGATCAAGGATCTAAAGGGTGGCAGGGGCCCAGCCCAGGCCCAAGGATCTACAGAGGGGCGTAGGCCCAAGAATCAAAGGGCCCCCAAGAGCCTTGGGGCCCTTTAGGTTCTTGGATCTCCCAAAGCCCGAATTACGAAAAGTGACAAAAAAAGAAAAAATGTTTAGTAATCACTGAGTGGACATTGGAAGGCAGGGGCCCTCCAGCAAACAAAAAGTTAGGAACAGTCCGAAAGAAGTATCAAATACCCCGTCCTAACAATAAAAATCAGAGGAAGAAGCCCCATCTCGGTAAGTAAAGGCCCAAAGTTTGAAACCAAAGCTAAGCATCAAAAAGAGAGAAAGAAAAAAAAATTCCGGCGGCCGAGGGCCCCGTAGGCGCCTGGGCCCCCCCGCATAGCAGGGTCTGCGGGAGCGCCCGTTACGCCACTGCCTTCTTACGTCTACGTTCTTCCCCACCCCCCCCCTCCATNCCCCCCCCCCCCCTCCATCTTTACAGTCTGGTTTATCGACCCTTATTTTGAGTGCTTTCAAAGGGAAAAATAAACCCCATACAGGGTGTGCAGTTTTTTTTCTGTAAAAAAAACATAAATAAAAAATTCCGACTATAAAACTTTCATGTCACGTATCTCGTCTAGAGCGTTTTAAAATTTCTGCTCCAATTTTATTTTTTTGAAACATAAAAAATCCATAACATTAATTGAAGTTTTCACAGAATTTTCCTCGTACAAATTAAATTAAAACTTTTGTTTGAAAATATTATGAAAAATCGGAGATTTTGAAAAGTCACAATGGAGATACGCATCTCTCGATTTGGAACATTGATATTTCAATGAATGTCGTCATTAACATTAACTCTATTTTTTTGTTGCAGGAGTGTGATTCTCGCTGTGAATGATGAGTGGCTCTTGAAGAAAAATTGTTCCATCATAACGCTAAACTCTTAGGTAAGTTTAAGTCCAGTAAAATTCTGTAAAACGTTCTTTAAAGAAATTAAGGCCCGTGAACTGGTGACCAGATTTGTCATGTTTATTGTTTATACCATGGTTTTTATTACCTTTGGTCTGATGGGTCAGCGGCCGAGTATACATCAAAGCTATCGTGTCAAGGATCATTGACGGACCTAAGAAGTTGGTTCCATTATTTTCTCTCCATTTAAACCCATGGAAATGAATCGGATCTTGGAGAAGCAAGATCAGTGGCGTGGTGTGAATAATCGATTATTGATACTTCTCCATTTGGCGCTATGATAAAGAATCGATATTAAGGCGTTCGCTGCGAACACTCTGTTTATCGATCCTTTTCCATGGGTTTAAATAGCAGATCAATCGATACATCGCAAAACACGCCACGCCACTGAGCCAGATGCTCCGTAAAGAATCGATTACTCAACACAGACTTAAATGATGAGGAAACCATGATGCCAACTTGCTGGATTCATGTCTTGCTACTAGATTTTCTGAAAATCATAAACAGCTAGACCACATTTTGCAAGGGAACTCCTATTTCTGGCACATCAATAAAATCACCTCTGCACAAGGACTCTAATTGTGCATATGTTGGTTTTAAAATGAGCCAAAAAAATAGTGCCTCAGGTCCAGGCAACATGTCAGTGACATGTCAGTTCGCCTTCAACTAATAATGTAGGCAACATAGGCTCCCGCATGGTCGAGTGGTGGTATCATTGTGAAAAATCATGGCTCGGTTCACACGAGGACGTAAAGAAGTGATTCTACCGCTTTAATAGCTCGCCTGCAATTTCAACTCTAGGCAATAGAAACTCTCACATTTTACCATTGAAAAATATTAATATTTTTAAGTGCATCGGTCTAAAAAAACAATATTATTTGGTCCCTTTTTATTTTTTGATGAACGAATGATGATACTGTGCCGCAGAGACAAAAATTAATAATTAACGAAAGTTATTTTTTCAACCGAAGAACTTCAAAACGTCGGCCCTTTTCAGTAAACAATGTAAATTATTTTTATTTATTAATTTTACAATGCTGTATTGCCAAAACGAGTTATAAACTCAAAGCTAAAACTTTCACCAGAGGTATGTCTCATCATACGGGTTCGTTTAAGGACTTTTAGGCGACATTCAAACGAATCCCTGAGCTTTCCGAAAAAGGGGCTTTTTTGACAGGCTCCTTAATAAATGAGAATACTTCCCTGGTAAAAATTGGCAGTAGAATCTGTGTTCCAAAATACCACAGACCTACAGCCGGCTGTAAGATTTCCAATAGCTTCTGTAGCCGCAACACAATTTCTTATAGCCTTTTATAGCCGATGGAGAGTAAGCAACAGCCTGGCAATAAAGTGTATGCTGAACGTTACTAATTACGGATGCCAGGATTTAGTGAGTTTTTGGACTACCGCTCTCTTTTTGGGCCGTAGTATCTCGATGTATTTTGCGAGGAAAGCTCCGTACTTTTGGAGGATGCCTGTCATTCTTAATATGTTGGACCTCCCTCAATTTCGTATGATAATGTGCAATACCTATGGTGTGAAATGGTTGCTTCAAGCGCCGTGGTACGCTGAGGCGCGGCGCGGCGGGCGGGCAGCCAGCGCGGAACGCGCATTGGCGCCTACAAACCTAACAGGGATACTTCACGCATTGCGCAATGCGTGAAGTATCCCTGTTAGGTTTGTAGGCGCCAGTGCGCCGCCGCTCCGCTTTGTGTTAGGCTCTAATATTTAATCTCGTGGAGTCAGCGTTTTTCAACTCATGACTTTGAAATGTTTGCACACTCTGTATGGATTATTCTCATTTTAATTGATGAAAAAAAAGTATGTATGAAAATATAATGTGCGTTTTGTAAATATTAAGGTGATTCCGTACAAACTTCAGGATTTACAAAGCACACGAATTTCTACACAATTTCTTATAGCCTTTTATAACCGACAAAGCAACAGCCTGGCGATAAAGTGTAAAGCCCGGCGATAGGAACTATAGCCCGGCTTTATAATTTTTTATCGCTTCGTGTAGCCCAGCCGTAAGATTCTTTCCACTTTCTACAGCCAGCTATATGATTTTCTATCGCCTTCTTCAGTCGGCTATAAGAACTCCTACGGTATTTTGAAACGCAGCTCGTATCGCCAATTTTTACCAGGGTTGGTATAGTTGCAAAATCTCTGGCAAAACACTCTCGTACAAACTCCTTGATGCCAAATTGTTCATAATTATGCTTTTCGTTACAGTGTCACGGACGTATGAGAGTTCGAGGATTCATCACAACTTGAGACCTCGGAAGCAATGATATTTCGCTCCAACTCAGGACTTCATAAATAAGTAACAAAATCAGCGAAAATGGGGTCGTGCATGGATTACAACAACTATGACGGTCTAACCGACCTGTCAACGACCAAGCTTTGCGGTGCTGTTCATGGAAGTCTTATCCAAGAATTCTTCGCTGGGAAGAGCGTTTTCATCACTGGCGGAACTGGTTTCGTCGGGAAAGCTTTAGTAGAAAAACTCCTGCGATCATGCCCTAAGTTGGATAAAATATACCTTTTAGTTCGACCAAAGAAGGGAGTTCATCCCAAAGTAAGACTCACCGAACTGTTAAAGAACTCGGTAAGTTTTTGAATAGGTACCTAGTTTTATTACAGAACGAAACATTTAATGGCTTGCGGAAATAATATATTGCAGCTGCTCGTGGCTGAAACGTATCTCGATAAAGACTCATTCACAATCTGTCCGCAAAATAGCGTATTACCTAGTGAGAGTGTATATTTTACGGAACGCTTTATGATTTGGTCATTTTCGGTTTATTTTCAGGTCTAATAATGACCTAAATAAGGGTCTGGGGCCGATTTTAGCGAAAAATAGGGAATTTTTGGCATCCGACCTCAAACTTGCAAAACCCGCATTTTTCGCCAAAATTGCCCTTCAGGCCAATCCCAGTCATGTATTAGAGAGACCGAGAATGTCCCAATCATGATGCACTCCGCAAAATATACATTTTCAATGAGCAAGAAATCGCTGAGTTGAGGAAATTTAGGGTCGGTCAAAAGCGGCTCTTGGCTATACGCAACCTCATAAACGGGGTGAATAATTTTCTTGGTTTCTACCAATGGTTTCAATATTATTTCATAGCCAGCATTATAGACCATATTTTTACCTAGATAAAAAGCAAAAACGATTTTTTGGCTCTACAGGAAAGTAGTGTGCCTATTTCCTTTCTCCCAAAAATCAACATTTTGAAATGGGGACTCCTCACTTCTGACACGCGTAACTAGCGTTTCCTCTCACTTATAACGGTGTAAAGGTTCATAAAATTTTGCTGCTCTAGGCCTCGACTAGAAATAGACTCGTTTCGTTGAAATTCGTCGATTTTTTTTATTTTTTTTTTTTTTTTATTTTTTTATTATTATTATTACTAGTATTAAGTGACCTTTCACAAGAAAATATACACTTTTTTTGTCTAAAATTGAATAAGGTAGAAAATACAAACGACCGAGTAGTTTGTAACTTATCTAAATATGTGAGTGTTAAAAAGTATTAAACTTAATGGTTCAAACCAAGGGACTGGCCAGTTCCCACGGTTTCACCCGTTTGAGGCGTCTGTACTCATTTACGTTATCTAGTAATAATAATGCCTCTGTATCGGGGTGGTGATGGAGTCTTCTCTCATAGTTTGTTGCAACTTTAGATTGGGGTGGTGATGGAGTCTTCTCTCATAGTTTGTTGCAACTTTAGTGAAATTCGTCGATTCACGCCAAAAAATACAGGATTGGGAACTTTTTGATGCAGGTGTTCGACCGAGTGCGAGCGGAGTGCCCGGCGTCGATCTTCGAGAAGGTGATCTGCATCGAGGGCAACGTCACCGAGGCGGGCCTGGGATTGGCCATCGAAGACAAAGCCACGCTCATCTCCAACGTCAACGTCGTCTTCCACTCGGCGGCCACCGTCAAGTTCAACGAGGCCCTCCCGTCCGCCGTCGATCTCAACACCCGCGGGACCAAACGCGTTATCGAGCTCTGCCACTCCATATACAAACTTGAGGTAAGACCCCAGCTTCTCCCCAAAATCCCCCGACGGATTCAGTTTCCTTCGGTAACGTCGCATGGTGTCAACGTCATGGTGTCAACAAACAGGATTCTAAGTTTTCGTTGACAACATGATCATCGAAAAATAAAAAATTCTGACTCGAGCGCTATTTTTACCGAAACGAAAGGCATGCGACAACAAGACCCGATGATACGGTACATTGTTAAAAATCGATAAGTGAAGTTCGGTGCTGGAGTCTATATATATAACGCCCAAAAACCCTGTGTGATATGAATGCGAAGTAAAATCAGTACACCATTAAAGCGTATTGTAATTGATGGCCGAGTGCGAAACTACGTATCTCTGTTTGCGACGTTGCGAACTTTATATCGACGGTGAAACTACCAAACCAAGTATCTCGTTTGCGGTGTTTAAAAATCTCCGCTCCCATTTGACTTTTTTGAACGAGAAGAAAATCAATATCATTCCTTGAAGTTTCCACAGAATTTTCTTCGCACAGTGAAAAAAAACCACGGAAATTTTCAAGAATTGACTTTGAGTAGTTTTCTATTGAAAAAATAAAGTAAGACAGGAAGTCTGCAACCTCGCAAACCAAGATACGTGGTCTGGTAGTTTCACAGTCACCGTAGAGAAATATATGTGTATGTACAGTCTAGACTTGCAGTGTCCAGTTTGCAAAATTCCGCACTTATTTCTACTGTTACGCAAGTTAAGATTGGCTCCAGAATAAAACGGGGACTCAAACTTCCAAGGGGAGGGGGGGTCCAAGGGGCTTCCCCTGGTATATTTTCGGAATTTTTAAGCGCTAAGATGCATTTTGAGTCAAGTTATGAATAATTATCAAATATAAGCGTCCTCCCTTCTTCTTCCTCCTCTATTTTTTCGGGCGAAGGGGGGGGGGGCGTATGCCCCTACGCCCCTCCCCTCTGATCCGCCTATGCTGTCATTTTATTTTCCTGACTGATATTTTGATGGATCAGGCATTGGTGCATGTCTCGACGGCGTACTCAAACGCGGACAAGCGGGAGATCCAGGAGGTGGTCTACTCGCCGCCGGGGAACCCGAACCATGTGATGGAGTGCTGCGAGAACATGCCGCAGGAGATGCTCGACTTGATCGCTGAGAGGATCCAGAAGAACCACCCCAACACCTACACCGTTACGAAAGCCATGGCCGAATGGCTCGTCGCCGAGCAGGCTAGAACTCTCCCCACCGCCATAGTTCGTCCCAGCATCGGTGAGTTCAATCATAAGATGTGATTCAGGCTAAATTTTGCAATCAGGAGCTACAATTTCTGGCTCAGTTTAAAAACAACGTATGTACCATTAGTTTCCCTATGCGCATGCGTGTTTTTACAGATGAGCCAGACTTTGTTGTTCCCAATTAATTGCAAAATGTAGTCTGTTTAAACATGTTTGTGTTATATGGAACAAAGGACATCAGTGGTGTCAGTAGGCATGTTTGCAGACGTCTAGTTTAAAATTGGGGAGTGGGTGACTTTTTTTTCTTTTTTTTTTTGATGGGCAGTTAGCGTAAATCCACCAAGGTATTACCTGTTTTCCCTCGGTGATATTCTCCTCCACCCCCTTTCGTCTATTCTCCCCAATTCCTTTACCCGGGGATATTTCTCCCCCTTCCCCCGGTTTTCTTTAAAAAAAAAAAAAATTTCGTTTAAAGACAATGATATACATATTTACACGTGAAAATTAAGCAAATTTCTGCAGTGGAAAAGGAGACTAAACTAGTGATCATAGCTTCAATTGCTTTTAGAGGCAATCTGAGACACAATTTTCCGGGGGAGGCTCCCCGAGACCCCCTCACACCCCCTGAGAATCCGCGGCTGTTTTAAGGGGGGGGGAGGGTGCAAAAAATGGAATAGGGGGGTAGCTCGTCAAGTACCTAGGGGGGGAATAACATATGGGGGAATGACACTGATGTACTTAGGGTTTGGGTGCAACATAGTTCCTTTTAGCATGAATGCGTCCAAAACAAACGTCCAATACTGTATCAATAGGGGTTTACGGAGCCGCACTTTCATGCTACTTGGTATTAAATTGTCATCCTAGAAGGAAGCGTTGACCCCAGCGCGGGACACGCAACTGACCGCTCATTGATCTAGTCTCGACAGGTGTCCGGACAGTGCTGTCGTGCCAGAGGAAAAATGCTGTATGAGCCCTTAGACGTTGTCGAATTTACCTTGATGAACTGCGGATTTCTGAGGAAGCTTGTAAATATTTTCCTCCCGATTTTTCAGACATTTTTATTCTCAATTTTTTATAAAATACCTATAAGTTTCTGGAAAACGTATTCATAACTACCTTCAAAAATAAACAATTAATCACGGGTGACTTGGCAACATTCGAATGTTAATACGGCCTTTTTCCTTGGCACGGTAGAGTGCTATCGTGCGAGCAGAGAACGCCGCATGAACCCTCGTGCGTTGACGAATTTTCCTTAAGATGACACGAATTTTCAGGAAAGCTTGTGAATATTTTCTGCTAAATTTTTCAGAGAATTTTCAGAGATCATTTCTCAGGTCCTAGGACTAGATCTGATCGTCAAACCGTGTAAAAATGGATCTATTGCTTGCTGGATACAATCAGAGATTCAATATTTTATAAAACTTTATAAAGTGCAATTGCATAGTCAAATTTCATGACATTTCATGAAATACTGTGACATTTCATGAATTTTCTGAGAACATCTGCGACGGACTCAGTATGACATAAAACGCAAAGAAACAGCAAACCATATTCATTTTAAAATTTTGAAGAAAAAGAAGAATAATAATATGAATCACGAGTCAAATTTCGAAGTATGTTGCGGGTTGCATATACGTAGTCCCTGAAAAATCGTTGAAATCTCGTGAAAAATAAAATTCCTTTTTTCAGCAAAATAAAACTACACAAACTGATTGCGGTGGACGCGCGGGTCGTGAGACAGCATGTTGGAGTTTTTTAGCCAACGTGCGCTAAAAATTCAGCATAATCTCTGAATCAAGATTTTCAGCTTTATGCTTTTTTTTTACGCACGTTGGCTAAAAAACTCCAACATACTAAAATAAAACTCCATAAAATTCTACAAAATTGCATTGTGAAATTCATTTTGTATCTCTAGATATAATATCGTTACAAATCGTGTATTATATGCCACGAAACGCATAGAAACGGTAAACTCTTAATTTCAAAATTTTAACAAAAAATCATAAATCAAATTTCTAAGAAGGTTTCGGGTTGCAGGCGCAGTCCTTGAAAAATCGTTGCAATTTTGTGAGAAATGAAATTTCACTTTCCAGAAATATGAAATTCCATATAATCTGACAACAATTTATTCCTCGATTTTCACTAATCAGTAAAATTAAATTTAAGGACTGAAATTTTACTCTGTTTCTCTGGATATAATATCGTTCGATTTTGATTTTAGTGACTGCCGCTTGGCGGGAACCGATGCCCGGCTGGGTAGACAACATTTCCGGCATCACAGGCATCATGATGGAGATCGGCAGGGGCACAATTCGAAGTATAATCTGCGACCAAAAACTCGTCGTTGACATCATTCCCGTGGATTTCGTCGTCAACACCCTTATCGCCGTCGCCTGGCACACCGCTAAAAATAGGTAAACACTATCGTGCCTTATACGGAAACAAAGAGAGACCCTCTACTAAACTCTTGTCGTCAGGTGGAAACTTTTACTCTCGGGAATTTAACACCTCTTAATGGATCATCATAAAGGAGCAGCAGTCATCACCCTTGTCGGCTGTTTACTTATACCTACTAGGTGGATGATGAGCTTTGGGTGACGTGATGAACCAAACAAGTTTACCAAACTTATGCTTGCTTGCAGGTCGAAATACTCAAAACTTCCACCATTGCCGATGGCCAAAAGGTTCTCTCTTTGTCTCTGACACCATATTAATTAGGGTATCTTTGAACAAGGGTGCAGAACTGCAGAACGTTCTTCAGTTTGCGCTCTAGTCAACAAACACAGATTTTTCTTGCGCAAAATTATACGGATCGATCGGAGCAATGCAAGCAAAATAATTTCCGCGATTAGGATAATTTTGACAAAAAAATAAACACAGCGAAACAAAAATATAAGTAGATAATATGAACAAAACTTCTGCAGTTACCTACTTACATTAGTGTGCGAGCAGTCATTTGTATATTCTTATTAAAATCAAGGCAGAGTTTCAGTTAAAAGAACGTCGGGAATGCCCATTATCAGTGGCAGCAATGAAAGCCGCGCGCGCTCGCGTGACTTATGAAGCACCTTCAACATCGTGGGAATACTTCATATGCTACACCGTTACACCTCGATCCGTTGTGCGAATTGCCTATGTGCGCTTTGCCTGCCGGAGTGGGCAATGGTGATCGAGCACATTTTCTACGCCTGGTTTCATGGTCTGAGATGAAAAATTTTACGAAAAATAAGAATTTGAAATTTGGTGGTGTCCTTTCCGGCGAAATTTCAAACTTGAGTAAAAGGAAGTTGCATGCATAGTTTCCTGTTAAGTAGAAACTTAAGGCTACCAATAGACAAAAGGATAATAATTATTAACACGTGAAAAATGTGAAATTTCAAGTGACACCTCGAGTCCAGCCACCGGAAATGAAGAAGAAAAAATAAGATATATTCTGTTTTCTTTTTCCTTTTATAAAGCACATGTGTCCGCTCACAATTAGGATTTTTTGAGGCAACTTCTGCCACCAGTCTCGGTGATAAGTCAGTTACATGTTTGTTAAATCAGTTACATGTGTTAAATCAGTTACAGTTGTATGTTTTGCTTTACTATATACACTTTACAGGGGGGGGGGCAGCCCAACGTAAGTTTTAAAGGATATTTTTAGCTTCGCTCTAGATCTACCACTGGTAATCGTCACAATGTATTTCATTTAAACAATTTAGTTTCTTCTGAATTTTCAAGATATTTCATGACTTCTCACTATTTTTCTTTGTTCCCCTTATCGCGTTCGTGCAGGAGAGTGACGGATCGACCGGCCGTCTACAACTGCACTTCCGGGACCATCAACCCGATCAAATGGGAGGAGCTGGGAGTTATGACCCAGCGCCATGCTCTGATGGTACCCTCTCGGTACATACAATGGTACCCAGGCTTCAGTTTCCGTACCAACAGACTCATCCATTGGATCTACGAGGCCGCTTTCCACTTCCTGCCCGCCGTTATCGTTGACGTCATACTTCGACTCCAAGGCTCGAAACCTATGTAAGTACCTTTGATACTTAATTTAAGAGTGTCTTTTTGTTGGATTTAATGACTTAGGCGTGGTATCGTAAAATTCAGAGTGAGTTGAGGTCAACCTATTTTTTAGGGAACTGGCCGAGTAAGCAGGCTTCTCAGTTCACACTTTTGGGCTCCCTTTTTTACCATCCTTAGAGATCGGAAAGGCACTCTTTCGGAGACATAACAAACGCTCTCTCTCCGATTTCTTCGGCAACTCTGCCTACAAAAATCGTGGATTCATGCAGGACTTCTAAATTATTATTCTCTAATCTAGGATTTTGTTCTTCATAATCAGTCCTAGGCATTTCCATGGCCAGCCTAGGAGTTATTGGTCCCCACTGTTCATACTTAAATCTCATCGTGCTTTTTTCGAGCTATCTAGTTATTTCCTAAGAGATAAGGGGCGATTTCCTCCAAACTTTGGCCAAAAATACTCAGCGGTGGCCATTTCAGCCTAACTTTGGAGGCCCCATTTGGTTTTCGGTGAACCTTAATCTTATAATCGGAAGGGTCTGAAGACGGTGAAAAAATTGATAGCCAGTCTTTGAATGTAAAGGAAGCCGATTGTTTTTTTGCAATTTTTTAAAGAAAGCTTCATATCGATGGCCAAAGTGCAAAACTGCGCATCTTCATTTCGGTATTTCAAACTGTCCACTTTTATTGTTTTATTTTCTTCGAGGAAAACCGAGTCAACTAACTAGTATGAAAGTTTTACAGAATATTCTGATAACAGAGAAAAAAAATTGGGGAAGTCTTCGGGTTACGTTGATTAGTTTTCCAGAGAGAAAATTAAGTATGACAGGAATTCTGTGACGTTGCAAGGTAAGATACGAGGTTTCGCACTTTGGCTATCGATATACCTAGTATTTAATGCACCTAGTTTCTTCTTGCTAGGGTAAAAAAAAAGATACGCTCTGCAAATGATCTTGACATTGGTCTCTTCTTTCTTTAACCTGCTTCTGGGATGTCGAAACATTTTGAATTTCAATTTCAATTTTTTCAAAGAACTTTTGTTGATGTTTTGCATGAATTTTATTTCTTCCTAGAATGCTGAAAATATTCAAGAAATTTAAAATGGCTGCGAAGACTGGAGAGTTTTTTGCGCTGAATGAATTCAATTTCGATAACAGAAACTTGGGTCAACTGATCAAAGAAATAGCCTCATCGTCGGATCAGCCGAACTTTGAGGTGGACGTAGCGAAAATAGGATGGGATTCTTACGTTAAACAGTACATGCTCGGAATAAGGAAATTCGTGCTCAAGGATCCGCCAGAGACCATCCCTGGCGCCAGAAGAAAACTGTACAGGTTCGTCTTTCATCTTATTTTTTTTAAATTAAAGGAGTCGTAAGTCTTTTTTTTTCTTTTTCCATTTTCCTTTTCTTTTTCCAAAATCGCGTTTTACGTAGACAGAAAATCACTGGCGAGAGGTCGGCCGCAATTTCTATGCTAGGCGCCTTGATGCAACTATACGTGCGTAAGGGCTGTCTATACCTTGCATTTGCTTATTTGCTTGCATAACCACAAAACTGAAGGCGCGCTTCCTACTCTTGAGTATGCGCCTAGCCGCCTTGCCGTTGAAATAGTCGTTTGAAATAGTCGGCAGTGTTCTGACCGGAAATATAACTCTTATTTTCTTTTTATATTCTGCTTTTTGCTAAGCTTAATCTTGTCATGTTAAAATATTGATGTGTGGTGACGACGTAGCCATCTTGAGATAATAAAGTGCCATGATGGCCATGATGTAAAAATGTACATCGGATCATTAGTCAAGACACAGACACAGCTTTCCCACATGCACACTCAGAGATATTGTAAAACTGATTGATACTTTGGTAGCCTCTATGATGAATAAAATATTTGTTTAAAAAAAGTGAGGAAAGAAGGGGAAGGGAGAGAGCAAAATAATGCAAAATTTTATGCAATTTTAAAGAATGGAATTTCAAATAATATTGTGAAATTTCATGATTTTTTTCTAAAACTTCATCAATGAACTCACTATGCCATGGAACTCATAGAAACAGTGAAATCCTAATATTGAAATCTGAAGAAAAAATAAAAAAATGAGTCTTTTGAAGTTTCTTCTCGAATTCTGAGATAAATGTTGCGGGTTGCATACACAGTCTCTGAGAAAGTAATTTTTCACCTTTCTGCAAACTGAAATTTCATTGAATTTCATTTTGCATCTCTGCACACATGGCTCAACTTTTCTTAATCTGCATCGGAACTGCAAATACTTGCCGTGACGTAGAAATGTGCATTCCTCTACTCATAACCCTTATTCTGTATTTTCTTTCTAACATTTTTTGCGCTTGACTCATCACTGATTTTTTTTTTTTTACTTCGCAGGTTATACTGGTTCCACCGTTTAGTCCAGGTTCTGATTCCGGCTGGAATACTCTTGAATTTGAGATTTACTGGCTGATGAATGCCTCCCCGAGGCCAGCCTGGACGCAAAATCTCTGTGTGTTTCAGATATTATCAAATTTCCAGCATTTTGATGAACAAACTCAGTTCAAAAATAAAGGAAAAAAGTACCAACTATGTTTTTCAAACATCAAAATAATCTGCTATGTACAAAATTGCAAGGAGCTTGATTAGTCTCGCTTGATCATTCCTATTTTTAAATTTACCAAATAATTTAGTTGTATTATGAAAGAGCAATACCCAGAAAGAACAATTGCTCTGTACAAGAATTACCTTAAGAGACAAGTGGCCTTACATACTTATCCTTATTTGCTTGTTCAGTTTTCCTAGTTTAATTTTAAGATGTAAACATGAGACTCTATCCAATTCTGGTCGATTTGAGTTTTAGGACTTAGAAATAATGGCAGAACCTTTGTGAATCTGCAATAAATACATGTGTCCTTGTCCTTACACCATGTAAACACGCCTTTATGCATACAATATGAGAGCTTTTGGGTTATTCCCATTATTTGATACAAATTATTGGAATTATTTTTACAAAATATGTATGCTCCCTCAGCATGCAATTTTTCAGCTATCTATTGAATCTATTTATTTGTTATTACTGTAGCCCTTAACAGGTGCCTCACAGATTGTGACAATATATTTGCCATTCCTGAATTAAATAAAATGTTTTAATGACTGAAACTATTAATTTCTTATTACTACCACCTAACATATTTTTTAAGGATCGCCAAAATGGTTCATACCTGAAAGGAATTTTTTTTTTTTCTTTTCTTTTTCTTTTGTGAGGTATTTACAAGATTTGCACCTAGCTCAACTTAAAAAATAGTCAGTTAGATAGAGTTACCAGCAATTAAAAGGAATTGAACTTGATTGTTATTTTTTACTTGATCTCCAAGGTTCAATAAATATTGAGATATGTTCCATTTTAGTACTAAAATAAGGATCTTGTTTATTATTTGAATACAGTGCACCACAGTGCCATGCATAGGAAGAACGCTGTATGAACATTCAAGAGTTGCCAAATTTTCCCTGATACAACATGCATTTTTGAGGAAAGTTATGCACATTTTTCCACAGGATTATGTTTTAGATTAAATTGCAAACAAAACTGTCTGAAAAATTTAAGAAGAAGAATATTCACAATTTTACCGGTGAATTATTTTTATTAAAAGAAGTATGGCTGAAGGCTCATACGGCATTCTTCCTTAGAACCGCAGCATGAGGAAGCAGACACAGTGAATAAAGAAAGAGGAGACTCTTACCTACAAAAAAAAAAAGTAAGTAATGGGCGATTGTTTGCTTTGTGCAGAATGTAAGTAATTGTAAAAAAAGTTATACTTTGAAAGGTGGAGAATAAATGCTTAAGAATGAAAATTTTTTATTCTCAAATAACAAATGATAAAAACTTAACAAGAAATAAAAAGAAATAAATGATCAATAGAGAAACACAAGAGGAAAAGAGACAATTACACAAACAAAAAAGATTTACAGCGAGTAGTTAATAAATAATGAGTAAAACTGGATTCTGTTTTTCATTTGACAAAGGATCAAATACAGGGAGTGTGGACCACAGGACAGGCTAAGAATGAAGTATTGCAGGATATGCTTCTTCATCACTATCTCACCCAGAAAAATTAGAATACGTTGATAAGTTCAAAATTAACTCATTAAGACGGATTTGTTCTCAATTTTACATTGGAATCTGTAACTTCAAACTTTCCGCTCTAATAAAAACCGATATCAACCATCAAAAAGGAACCCTATCCTCTAAAAAATAACTAATTTTGCATTTTTGCACAGTTCATAGGTTGAAATTAACAAACATGGAAAACACCAATCGCTCTTTTATGAGTTCAATTTAAATTGTGTTTACCGTGTTCTATGCAACATTATTCTTGCCCTATCTAGTGGTCCGCTTAAACAGTCTCCATATTATGAATTTTGCAAACATGTGCCTCATAAGTGAGGTGGAAAATATTTTTTCATTGAAAAATCCTGATATTCCTAACTTTTGCAGATACTTATTTTACAAAAACAAATTGACCCTTCCACTTGAGGGATCCTGATATTTTTTTGCTTTTTTTCAGTTAGTGATAATTATTTATCAAGGACTTCTTGTGAAAGAGTTTTTATGTCAAAAATATCATTAGTTATGGCTGGAGAGGACTAGCTAAATTTTTACTGAGTTTGTGATTAGAGGAGTTCTGGTGTGTGAAAAAGGGGGAAATCTGTGATTACAAATACTTTCTAGAATTTGAAAGTAATACATGTCTGCCATGAACAAATGTTGACTCAGCAATTCTTTTAAGAGTCCTTAGGTTTAACATAAAAATAAGAAAAGAGATACACTCAAAGACAGACTTTGATGCACACTATGATTAAAATCATTATGTCCACTGTCACAAAAGTGAATGGGACTTGACACATAAAGTAAGAAAATAAATGCGAATGATAATTAATAAGAATGATTCCAGGGAAAATTAACTGACCAACGCTAATAAAATAAGATACCTGTATACCTTACAATGATATTATGATTTGATAGAAAAATAAAGGAATTAACAGCACCTTTAATAAGTTTTACTCACACTAAATTCAACATAACAATAATGATAACGTAGAAAAAATATGGTTTTAGGTGAAACTTTGAATTACGAAAATTCAAAATTAGAGCAACAGATTAAAAGTAAACTGTTTTGAAAAAAATTATGAGAAAAAAAAATACCATCCATGATCCACTAATGATACTCTAAAAATCAACACATGAAAAAATGTGGTGTTCTCATTGAGCATACAGTTAGGCTCACATGATTATTGGTCACACTAGAGGTATGACTTTATGAATGGTCCATTTATGTGAATCACTGAATATGATGAAAATTACTTTTAATCGAAAATATTGATAGGATTTTAACTGGGATTTAAGGCTGAACTGTTTCAAATAAGTTGAGGATTAAAGGAACAAATTGTATTGTAAATTTTTCATCCTATGGAGTGGGAAGGAACTAACCTATGCATGTAAAAATAGAGACAAATTTTATTAGTCTTACTTATTCGGAAGATTGGCACTGTAAGTGAAAAAAAACCATTATGTCTTTCATTGAAACTTAAAGTGAATTGTTATCACCCACTGACATGGATATGTTGTATCGGATGTTACGGAGAACACGATCCAAGGTAGGTTGGCAAATAAGTATGAGTATAGAGAAAGATTAGTATTTTCTCAAATTCATGCTGAGTTTATGATTTTCAAATCATTGGTTGGGAAGTGGGTAAACTTGGAGAAACAAATGCTCTCTTCAATTGGCTTTCACTTCCACTTCACTCACTAGTCATTTACAATACTTGCAAAAGAAAAAATAGGTGTGAAACTTGCTCTAAGTATGATAAAAGTACTTTGAAAAGAAGTGATATCAGCAATCAGAGGAATGAAATCCCATAATTATACTATGTATCTGCGTAACAGTTAGTTTTGAAGTGAGCCCCGAAATTTGATTATTTAGATGGGGTCTGGACCCAATAATTACCTAAATACATAACTGGGGATTTACAGTAATTTTGTTTATCTACAGGTAAAGTTAAGTCCTAATTGGATGGATAAGAACAGGAAGAAAAAAATGTAGTGCATTAGAGATTCATCACACGTAGACTGATAGCATTTCTTGGCAACTGCTATGAAGTGGATAACGGTAGAGTAGATACTAATGTGATAGTGTTGATTAGGAAATTGGTTGAAATGCATACTTTATACATCCTACATTAGTGGAGATCATCAACCTTTTTTTCCAATTGACGTCATCTCCAATAATGTGTGACAGAGGATTTAGGTATTTGGATCGATGTCTTGATTTTTATTGAATTATTGGGTATCTACAATTCTTTAGCTTGTGTAACTGACCCATGATTTCCGGACAGTAATATTTTAAATCACTAGATGATTTAGAAAGTAGTATAACTTTCCCGATTAATCTGGCTTGAGAGCATATTTCATTCAGACCAACATACAGATCTACTAACTTACATACAAATAATTATGAGAAAAAATAAACCTGAAATGACAGATAGATAAAGTCTACATAATATACAGAATTTTTTTTTTTTTGAAACTCAGGTACATAAAAAATATCATGAAATTATTTGGCATGATCGTAGTCTTAGTACAAAGACAAGTAAATGTATTTATTCTTGTATTTACTCATCCACCACTCTTCTTTTACGTAAGACTTGAACCCGAATTTTTCATTGTAAAATGCATGTAGAAGATGCAAGACAAACTTTTTGTAAAAAGGATGAGAAAAAAGGGGGCACATATTGAGTGACAGTTCGACACCTTAAGACTTCTGTGTCAATCTAGAATGATGTAATTTCATAACTTTCATTTTGCTTTTCAGTCCTTGTACTATTTTGTACTGTTGTTTGAATGTCCAAATTTTTGAATATTGCCACTCAAAGAATAAGAAGGGTGCGTGATTTTTTACATAGTAGATAATGGTGGTGCATGAGTATATACTATGTCATGGAGCTGTTCATAAAGTATGTAATGTTAAACTCGCCTTTTTCGCCGAAAGTGGTCTTTAGACCCATGATCAGGCCAGTATTGGACCCAAAAAAAGACTAAAAATGACTAAATCCTGATATATTCTGCAGAAAATAGACCTTACATGAGCAAAACTCGTTGAGTTGAGGAATTCAAGGTCTGCCCCCAAATTGGCACTTACTGATACCCCTCCTTAATACAGAATATTCTGCTAATGGAGATGAAACATCTAAGAAGTTTCCAAGAAATTACGTTGACTAGTCTTCCAAAGAAAAGAAAAAGAGTATGACAGGAAGTCTGCAACGTCGCAAACAGAGATAAATGATTTTGCACTTTAGCTACCGATATGATAATAAGTGGTTTGTCATTCGGTTTCTTAACAAGTAGAGAAAAATGAAAAAATTGATAAAGAACTGTGACCAAGGCAATAATGATGGCTTCACTAAGCTTCCGTGACTTTGTCTTGATCATTCCACTAAAAATTAAATTTCCATTATGCAGTAAGCTTACAATCCTTCAGAAAAGGAAAGAAAAATCGGAACAAACTTTGAAAAAGTATAAAATTAACAGTGTCGAATTGTTTCTAAGACTGGAATGACTCATTTAAACAAGTACAAGAAAAAAAAAAAAGAAATACTAGTTTTTGTTCGAATGCTTCAGGCTCTGTAGCTCCATCATTGCAGAATGCATCTGGAAATGTAATCTTGACTCTAAAGAATAACCCGTGTAGTTTTTCCTGGAATCAAAAAATCAAAATGATTAGTATGACAAAAACAAGGTTTGATTTTTTCCGTCAAAAAGGGCTGGGTTATTTTTGAGGGGAGGGAGAGGGGCTGAAAATTGTTTAGACGTGGATACATTGACTTTTTAGCAGGTATTCATGCATGATTTTGATTAACAGGAAAAGAAAGAAAAAAAAACTTTGAAAATTATGTAGATTGCAGCATAAAATGAGAACATATTCATGGAGCTGTAAAAGTTCTTAATTTTATATGCAAATATTAAAAGAAAATGATAAAGTTGGTTGAGGCACATTGTAGAAGTTAACTGTTTTGGACCATTTGGAAACAGAATTATCTAATGCCAAATGGTCAGGGCCGTTCGTAACTTATGAAACGCGCTGGGGGGAGGGGGATGGAGGAGAGTGTTAAGCAATTTTGTTTTCATGCGTTAAAGGATAGGGACCTACATTACAAAAATGTTACAAGAAATAGGGGTATAAACAATGTTGAAAAAGTGCGTTACATAATTCATGAACTCTCTCAGCGCTATTTATCTCTCTTTAATTACCCTAAGACTGATGTATTTTCCGTATGAATGTTCAAACATTTCTAATCAATGCTCATCGACTGAGTTGCTTTAAGCGAACAGGGGAACCAAACAGAATAAGATAAGTTCACTTTGACAACATATCTATGGTTTATGTGGTTAAACTTGCCAAAACTTTGGAGGACACCTGAGGCAACAAACTATGTTGTAAAATAAGATATTTTTTAGTGAGAAAGAGACAATATTCACTTACTTGGCGTCATCTAAAGTTTGGATAGCTCTCTGATTGTCGCCACCTTCGTGGAACATGATGCCTAACTCGACCAGAGCATACGGCACTAAATAGTTGTCCTCTTTGATTTTCTTCTCCAGAGCGACAACATTCCTGAGATTCTCCTCTGCTAACATGGGATTGTTCATTCGACGCAAACACGCACCTTTGAGTAAGTAGAGTAGAGCACGATTATCTGCCTCAAATTCTGAACCATATTGTTCTGAAAAATTACACAAAAATAGTCAAGATTCTTTCATGATTATGACTTGTGATGACTAAGAAAGTTTTTTTGTACAGCCTAAGAATATATACATACTACCATGCACTCCTGATGGCCAGATGAGATCATGAAAAGAAGAATGTCAATGTCCACCTGACACGACCAATTCATGGACCAATTTATAAATACTGCTGTGCTATCATAGAAAACAGTAAGTGTAAACCCACAGTTTTGGGGAAATAGGACACATCACAACACAATTCCAATTTATGTCTTACAGAGAGTGGCCACAACATCAAAAAAAAAGGAGTTTCAGACTTCCCTTGTTCCAAGTCTTTTTCCTCATTGGAGCATCTACCTTGGTTACAGATTGCATTAAACGCATTCCCATAGACTAAATTATACTGCTGAGATAGCAAAGAGTTCCGCGAGTACAAAAAAGAAGTTTATGGGCTCAGTGATATCTTAGCAAAAACAGTTGATACTGAATAGCTTTCCTTTAAAAAAATGAAGTATATCTGAAGTCTACAATTTTGCAAGCCGAGATACATAATTTGAGAGTTTTACCGTCAATATGATTCCAAGATGGACACTAATTGGACTTATTTATGCTAAGAAATGTACATAGGTTTACATGCAAAATAGTTCCTTTTAGCATAAATACGTCAAATTAAGAATGAAATGTAATAAAATAGGTAGATGCTTTTGAACTCACCAGGGTCTTTTTCAAATTTGAGCTCTGCGTCAGAGATAACCTTATAAAATCGATCACTCAACTCTCGCTTCTTTCCTATGACTTTGAACAAATTCCAAACATAGATAAGTTCCAAGGCAGGCAATATCAACTTGTTGTTCTGCAAGAAGAATCTCTTAGACTTCTTTACGCAAAATTTCTCCATCGGAATCGATTTGCCCGCAATCCTCTGCTTCCAACGAGGTACATTCCTGAATAAAATGACAATTATATTAGCATCAGAAAATCACAATTGAAAACTGATGAAGGACAGTTGATGAAAGTGACCGACAACTATAAGGTCAAAATTAATTCTGGTGGCAAGTACTCACTTAAATGTGACGAAGGGTCGAAGTTTCTCAGAGAAAATTGAGTGCTGGGAACGAGAATTCCTTATCCCTTTTTAAACTCTGGAGGAGTATTGTATGAACATGTACATACGTACATTTTTTTATTGAAGTTCCTAGGAAAAAATAGTTTAGCTTTAAAGACAATTAATAAATGATTGGGGCATTTTTGGAGATTAAAAGATAAAAATTACCTCATTAAATTTACTACGGCCTGTTGCTCTTCACCAGAGAGGTCGTCAAAATACATAAGCATGATGGAGACTTTGTGATAACTGTAGATTGTCCTGGACCATCTACTGTCATTCAACAAACTGGTTGCATGAATATTGGCTTCTTTCCAATCTAAATTAATACTGAAACGAAAAATGGAAAAATAAATTAGGCAAAAGGCAAGCAAATGAGGAACCAGAGACTGCAACATATTTGATGAAAGTATTATCTAATAGTTGCAAAAGCAAAAGGAGCTGCTCTTGTGACTGATGTTTTGCAGTTTTTTCTATTATATAATTACTTAAAAATTAAGCAGACTCCAAAATGATTGAGAGTGTCTCATAGAAATTCATTTTAAATCAATAAAGTAACTATGTTTATCAACAGAAAATGCATTACCAAACTTTAAAAATCAAAAGAAACACTCTGAATTTTCCTGAGGAAAAGTATGCATAAAATTATTTTCCTATAAGTTGCGATAAAATTGCAATCATTCACAAACAGTTTAGATGCAATCATCTTACTACTACATGTATCGCAAACAAAAAAAAAAATCTGATATCATGGAAACTTAATGGCATTCTGTTGCAAATGCTACCCTCAGTAAAATTCGGATTATTCGACTATGCAGTTGCAACATACAATCATCAATTCTCTTCTGGCTCAGAGTGAGACCATGATAATCTTCTAAGAGCTAAATACCTATTGGTCCACAGAAGTTCCCAGAAACAGATGTGATGGAATTGAACCCAAGTGTTTTGAGATTTCCAAGACTTGGTGTACCACGAATTGGCCTCCTTCAGATTACCCCTCATAAATTCTAGACGACCCTTGAAGTAGAGAAACCAAGCTCCCTCAGGATACAACTGGAAAAAAATAGAAACTTGATTTATTATTTCAGTATTTCTTATACATAATAAAATATATCCGAAGGGCAACGAGGTTATCTGAATTTTAATTCGATACTTTAGAGAGTGGAATGTTGTTAATGTACAGCTGTCTCTCACTTATTCCAACTTCTGTAATTCAAGGTATAAGCCAGTTCACTTTAAAATCTCTATATGGTTCGGGGAAAAAATTGATGCACTTTTAAAAGCTCCTTGCATAAAACATTAATTTTTGAGAAAAGATTTGAATATTATATCTGATATTTTATATAGATTGGGAAAAATTAGAAAAAAATCCTAATAAAATTGAAAAAAGTCACAAGAATATTAAAAACTTCGTATACTATCACAAGAAATTTGTCTAAGTCTGAGAGTTCATAACTTGTTTTACGTTCAAAATTGATGGACAAACCTAAATACAAAGAATACGAAAAGAAAAATGTCGCAATTCGATAAAACGGGTAGTTGTTACCGTATATGGGTAGAAAATGATTTAGTTCAATGCAACCACCCACCACCATAGGGTCACTTAATTTTCTCTTTTTCTTTTTTGTCTATCGTTTTGTCTATCAATCTCGATTATCACCACGGTTTGCTCGTACCTTATTCTGTCTTGCCCTTGAAACCAAAACAAGAGTGAATCCTTATTTTTTTCAGAGCACAGCATGCACTGATATTTTGTGAGTTGCAGCAATACAAAACTGCCTAAATTCTGTCTGCCTGTCCTTTTCAATTCAATCAAGCTGCAATCTGATAAGGGATCAGTGGTTCCATCTGATCTGGTTTCATGAAGTTGGAACGATAAAAACACTGCGACTCTTTTTCCGGACAACAGTTTGGAGCACCCTCTGTCCTGACCTGGATTTGTAGAACATGTTATTTTTCAGGTGTTGTGAGATGAGATATTTCCCAAAGCCAAGAATAAGAACCGCTTGTGCAGAGCTATGACATGAAGCTGTAAATCCACACAAGTTGTATCGCATAATTGGGGGAAACAAAGGACTCATTCTCTGTCAAATGGCCTGAACTAAGTAGAAGACACATTATGTAGTTTCGTTTGAACTGTACTTACCATCAATTGTTTTTTAAGAATAGTATCACAAAATTGCAAATCACCATCGGTATGACTAAAAACATAGACGACAATAAGATTATAACTTAGTAGCGTCATGACAGATAAGACTTGTCTCAGACCTTGAGTTAAACCATAACTGGCTTCTAATTCTTGTAATCCTAGTTCCTGAAATAAATAAAAAAAAAAAACGCATGAGATTAAGTAAAGAAAAGCAGTTTGAAAAAATTAATTTCAAAGATGTCACGGAAAATGGCAACAGACATGAGCGAATATCAATTATTTAAGTTTATAAGAACTAGAAAGGTTAATGTGAGACGGAGGGAAAAATTCTTGTTCCTCCTTGACAAAGTTTGACAAACACGTATCAAAATCGAAATAATTCGAGATTCCTGTTCTTACTGCACAAAAAGCTTGTTCAAAATCCTTATCCTCCTCCTAAGCTTTTCCTCCCTTTAAATATGATTTTTTGAACTTCATGATGAGCTCTTTGGTTTTTCCACGAAATTTTACATCAGAATGACTGAATTACAACCCTGCAAAAATTCCTTACCACTGCTCCATTGTTACAACAACTGAGCTCTGAATTTACTAGATGTTATAAGCTTTGTTGCAAAACATTTTTCTCATTTTATAATTTTTCTGCAACAAAAACTTAAAAAAACTGAAAAATACTATTATTTTTGAATGGGATTTCTATGATGAAAAGAGAGACATAAATTCCAGACAATATAACTTATAAATAAGAACAGGCAAAAGAGGACAAGAAAAAAATCTTCAGTGAGCAATTCATCGCCTTGCTGACATAGAGATGTAACTACACCAGTGGTGATTTTCCAAGTTGGCGATACTGTTTTTTCTACATTTAAATCCAATAAAAACATCGATTTTAGGTGAGGCAAGCTGTCTCACCAAGAATCAATTGTTTTACATATACTTAAATGGAGGAAAACCAGTGTTGCCAACTTTTAAGCATCAACACTGAACTACTCTTCGCAATGAGACATTTCATCCATATAACTCAATGCTTTCCTCGGTTCATCTCAAACTGTAGTTATGCCCTTTTGTCAGCCAAGCGACAAGTTGAGAAGAAAACTTACTTTACTTCCAGAGAATCCTATAAATTCCAATAACTTAATTATCCTAGTAGGAAGAAGAGAGATCATCTGCAATGCAAAAAAGAAAAAAAAATTAAAACCAGGATAGCTGGGAAGAAATGAAGAGGACGCTGAGTGAAAGTGTGACAACAGGAGATTTTACATGAAATGAGGGCGTGCCAACTCCCTGAATGGCTATGGGACGATAAGGGCTTGTAACAGTTAGAGATCACGGAAGGTCCGAGAACGCTGAGAAAGTGGCTTCTATGAAGATGATAATGAGAAAATGTCTCAAGTAATATGATTTACGTGGCATTTGGAACGGATCTAGAGGTAAAATGAGTACTTGCATCCTCCTTCTTATGTCCAAAAACAACAGAAACTCCCAGCCAATGTTTCATGCAAAAGCAGGATCCCCCCATGAGAATATATGGCAATTTCAGCGAATCGAAGTTCCACTACTTGTGATTAGTCCACGGCTCTGCCGAGCGAATGCAGACTTTACTTCTAGATCCCTATTTTAGATTATTCTCTCAGTCTTCCTATCATGTTTTATTTTCAAAATTGAGACAACTTAAGGTCATTTCTTGAAAACTGGTGATTTTTTTCTCTGTGTGAGGAATTTTCTGTGGAAATTTCAAGCAATAGTGTTGGCAACGTTCTTTTTTGGTAAAATAAAATAGGAGCAGAGATTTTGAAACACTATAAACAAGTTAAGCATTCCTGTAGTTTCGCTATTGATAGGTCTTCGTACATAATAAAAAGACACACAAATTGAGTGGGGATTCCATTTCATCAATCTTTGTTTTTTATGTGGAAGAGGGGGGAGGGAGGTCTTTTGACCAATTTATGTATGTATTTTCAATAGACTCTCTTTCTAGAAGTGCAAAATAATTCAGGGAGGCTACTTACTAGGTTAAAAGCACCTATTCCAACTCGAACTCCACTTTCAAAGTGTATTTTGTGAGGTTCTTTCTTGGCCCAATTCCTATGATTTAAAATATGACTACATTCCCTGAAATAAAAGAGCAAAATGGATGAAAATCAAATGGTGACATATACATTCAAAAAGAATAGCGAGGGTTAATTTAAAAAGCTACAGGAATGACTCATTGAGAAAGAAAAATTAATACTTCTGTATTTATGGAGAAAAGAAAAATAAAAGCAATAACAGAATCATTCTTTAAAGTTAAGTACTGAACGTCCACCTTGCAAATTAGTTGACACGGCAACTGAGATTCCAGTCGCAGCGTTGCCAGTTGACTTAGTTGTCATTTGACTCCTTTTATTTTCTTAATGGCTATTGGACTTTTTATTTAAATCAAAAGACTTATACTAAGTTAACAACTTCTAACTTGTACTAAGTTCTGTGTGATATTCACATATAATTAGCAGTGACGCTCTATTAAGGTTCAGATTGCCTTAATCTCTATGACTATTGAAAGTTTTTTGCTGAATTTCTGGGAAAAAAAAAACCATCTCTTCTGACCAGGCAAATTAGTTAGACAAAGCTGCCCCCACTAAGATTGATGACCAAATGGAGGCTGAGAAAAAATTGCCTGTGCAAAACAACCTGTTTGAGTTTCATATGAACTTTTGAACTGAGAAAATCCACCAGCTCATCATGACTATTAAAATGCACTGTGCTCATCTGAGCAGGACAGACAAATACAAGGCCAAGAATATTTGTCATGATAGCTAATTGCTTGGCTCATTTTTCCTGCAATGTCCGACATACACACAAGTTGTGCCAGTGTTTTCTGTGGTAGTTTTCATTTTTAATTTTCCATTATGACAAAAACTGCCATCATCACTGAACAAAATTATGAAGATACTTTTTGTATGTTTTATTTTCAGCACTGTTGGAAAATCTTTCCACTGAGCACTGAATACATTATTTACTTTAGGACTGAAAAATTAACAAATGTTCAAAAGGGTTCCTGTTTTAGAAATATTAAAAGCGGACAGTACTAACTACTACTGTTTTTTCCAAAGAGAGAAATTATAGAATGCAAAAAAATAACTTACTTATAAGAATTAAAACAAGAACGAATTTTCAGTCCAGCTCTAATAAAACTGACTAGTGTTTCATCTTCAATGAATGAAAGTAAAGCTTTTAAGAGCAACGATTCTGCAAAACACAGCTCAGCATGAACTTCCTCTGCAATGATGAACAAAAGAAAAAACAAAGTTAGTTTCACAGATAAAATTAGTTCAATTTTAGAGAACGTAAAATATTTTATGTAAAACTAAATCAGTTATGACATTTAATTTAATGTAAATTATGTAAAAGCTTGAACTAATTCAACATCAAACCGATGTGCATATATACAACTTCTTTTAATGCTTCTGATGAGAATAAATTGATAACCAACCGACCTATCGAATACTTGATATCTGTTTTGATATGATGACTTGGAGCATCTGTAGGGACAGGTATAGCATCTGGTAGGATCTCTCCATAATACATATAATATGTTTTGGTTGCACCGAAATGGATCCAAACATCACCATTACATATCTCCAGGCTACCAGTGGAAATAAATCCATATCTATCACCAAGTCGATACCTTCATAGAACATACTCTCAGTATAGTAGTCACAATGAAAGGAGCGTGCATCATTGTTGAGTCTCAATAGAGTAAACTTACCGTTGGTGTAAACATCATAGTTGGTACGTCTAACCATTTTCCCTATCGATTCGGAGAAGGTGTTCTTTTTCCGATAGTAATTGCATAGTTGGATGGCATCTTTCAGTGACTCTCCCGCTTTTTGGATACTATGCTATAGAGTAAAAGTAACAGAAGTAATTAGTACATTTCCAAAGAAAATCACAATAATCATGTATTGACAACAGAGACAAACACAGTAGGTAAAGGTATCAATTCATACTCCGTGATGCGGTTGAGAACAGAGAATGATAATGCGGTAGTATCACGTTTATACGCGGTCCGAATAACCGCGGTTCGATTAGTCGCGATTCGGGTTATCCGCGATTATTCAAACCGCGGTTCGATAAGCCGCAGTTTGGATTAACCGCGGTCTTAATAACCGCGGTCTGAATAACCGCGGTCTTAATAACCGCGGTTCGATTAGTCGCGATTCGGGTTATCCGCGATTATTCGAACCGCGGTTCGATTAGCCGCAGTTTGGATTAACCGCAGTTTGGATAACCGGGGTTGGGTTAGCTGCGATGCGGTTCGTTCGCGGTCTACATAACGCGGTGCGGATAGCCGCGGTCTGAATAACCGCGGTTCGATTCGCCGCAATCGGCCGAACCTAGGTTCCGAACCAATCCCACACCTATCATGTAAAGTACTAGCGTAATAAAGTGTACAGGGAAAGTTTCAGTAAGTGAAAAATGTTTATTCTTTCGCTCAAAATTTTAAATTTGGGACAAAAACAACTAACTTCGGATTGACCACGATAAAACGACCCGAATTACCGCGGATGTTCGAACCTGACTAAGCCTCCGAGTGGTAAATAACTGAATCCGGACTAGGGGAAAAGAACCCAAAATAACTGTCCTGCATCAAATGCAAAAATACGGTTAAGCTAACAAACAGCAAGAGGGCTGAGAAAAGTGCAGAGACCTTGAAACGTAAAAGGATGCGTACGGAAGGTGAAGGACTAAGTTTAGTGAATAAAAGAATGGCGGAGAGTGTAATTTGGAGTGCAAGTTCAATGGCGAGTTACATAAGTTTAATTGTAAGGTATGACGCATTGTAGGGCGAAGATGTTAATGGATGCGAGGAACTTTTATGACGGACGAGCATGCGACCGGTTGGTTTCGCGAGTTTTCTTCGGGATACGTCAGTCCCCCGTTTCCCTCACGAAGATCGTGACTACATTTTTATACTGCCTAATTTTTCCTCGCATTACCAGGATAATTTTGGGCATTTCTAACTGAAAATTTCTCTAACTTTTCCTCTGATCTCATTCTGGACTTTTAAAAATTTTGGGGTTTAGTTGCTGAATGGGTATACTTCTGAGTAAAAAAATTGAATTTTTAGGTAAATTTTGCAATCTTGGAATGGAGTCACGAATGGATTTCCCACGTCTGGGAAACAACGAGTTGTGTTTTGTCAAATCGTGCATTGATGACTAGAGCAACAAGCTATGAAGACATGTTTGCGACAGATGTTAGAAAATTGAATTCCCTGAAGAATTTTGGCAAAATTCCCTAACACTGGACGATATATGCATGTTGCAAAAAAATGTCTGCTTCCTGACTCGAACATGCAACTTTTGTTGTTCAAAATGTCGAACACTTTCTGCAGCCTAAATGGAGGAGATTCATCAATTATTCCCTACTGGTTTAGTCATTTTCCCTGATACTTTCCGGATTTCCCAGTTATCCTGGACTAAGGCAAAAATGCAAAGAGGTTGTAATATGACTGTCGTGCTAAGGAAAAACGCCGTGGGTACTTTCAGGCGTTGCGACATTTCTTGATACAATACGACGAATTTCGAAAGTTGTGAGTATTTTTCTTCCAATTTTTCAGATGATTTTGTTCGCACTTCAATCTAAAATATTTGAAAATTTCAAGGAAAAATATGTTTGATTTCCTTCCCAGATGAATGGTTCATCCGTGGAAATTTCGGAACGTTTGAATGCTCATACGGCGTTTTTCCTTACCATAGCAGATAAAAAAACATGGTATCGAGCGTTTTTCGAAATTATAACTTCAACTTCAACTTTTTTAAGCGTCGAAGCTTGTCAAGCATAAACGAAGTTTTTAAAATATTAATAAAATGAATGAAAAACGAACAGAAGTAATTGTTTCCAAACTGAGACATGAAGCTTACAACTTAGAAGAAAAAAAGAAATTTAAACGGCAAAATTTAGAAAGCCAGCTGTTAGTTTCGAGGAGTATTTACAAATGTATAAGCTGATGTAAAAAATCACGGAAAAACAGATTAAAAACTGAGAGCATCAGAAAACAGCAAAAAAGTAAAAATAATGCAAAAAGCTGAGTGATATGAGACGGAATAAGCGAAAGGACAGACTTGGTAAGATTTTGAACAATTTAATACCTGGTTAAAAGTTAGGACAGCCTCTAAGAAATCGAATACAGAATTCCCTATTGTGTGATACATACTGGTTCCAACCCTGAAAGAGAAAAAAAGGGATACATCCCCTTCATTTAGAACAGAATAGAGACACTAGCGATTCGCAATAAAGCTCAATAATGTTGTGGGGGAGGGGGTTGATAACAAAAACTCAATTTTCAGTCCCGCAACATCAGTTTAAACTTACTGTGATCCATGAGATTCGTGTAAATTCTTAAAATTTTTGACTCTTTTCATATTAAATCATGAGCAGGGGACAGACCGACTCCAGTCAGGGAAAGCTTGACCTAAAATATGATTAAGCCCATAATTTAGGGATTCATCAAGAGCTGAAATTGACGTATTCAGTCATTTTTTACTTTTATGGAAAAAATTGTAATGAATATGGTTTCTTAGGGATAGATACATTAAAAATAAAGGAACTGGGCGAATTCCAAAATGAAGTTTCGTACCCTATAATACAAAATCAAGTGGATTATGTCACAAACTGGTTTGAGGGCCCCCCCCCCACCCTCATGTCCGCTTTTACTTTTCAGCAAAATGGAAATTCATTAATTTTTTTTAAAATTTCTGCACGGTACTCAGAATTCCGCGAGACGAATAGAAACAACAAAATATTTTCTCAATTTTTAAAAAAAAATAGGAATCGAGTCTCGAATTCTCTTCATGAATTTTCTTTCTTCCTTCTTCCTTTTTCCTATGGAGGGTTGCAGTTGCAGCCCTATCCTCGTGGATTATTCCCCACATTTGATGGAAAATGAAACTTCACTTTTCAGAGGAGTGAAATTTCTTAAAAACATATTCCGTGGGATGTCATTTTACATCTCTATGAATGCTGGGAGTTAGAGCAGGGACTTTTTGGAGAGCTCTCACGAAAGGATACGGAGGGGCTAAACGATACGACCACACTTTAAGGGGTATCTAATTCCAGCGCCCCACTTGATGAAACTAGTCGAGAAGTAAAACGGCTGAGCACGACGACCTACCAGGGTTTCATCATTTCTTTGGCTTCGTTGAATTTGTTATTGAAGAATAGGTTGATCGCAGTCTTGGCCTCGTCCAGGGCTGTATCCAAATCCATTTCGCACGGGCTGTCACAGAACAGAGACAAAAACCAATGAAAAACGAGCTTTTGCAAACGAGAATAGCACGGAAATCATGCATTAACCCTTGACTAATATATCTGACTGATTGTAGGACCCATATGATTAGGGGTGTCCAAAAATGAAGCGCGAACTTTTTCAGAATAGATTTTTGGGCATATTGAACTTTACTGTTATATAAAGTTTTCCCCAAAAAATCCCCGCCTTCAGAGTTATAGCCCCTCCCCCAGCACACCCTTCATATTATAATATCAGTTTTTTTAGGTCAGCAATGTGTTCAGTGCGTAAAAAATCACACTGAAGTGCCAATCTTCGAGCATTCTCATTTACAACAGGCTGTCGTCACAATCAAGGAAACGCAGTTTTTCGGCCCAAACTTTGAAGTCCTGTAACTCTGAAAAGGGGATGACTTAGTTATCCTAGACTCGCCTGGCCATCAAATTAGGGCCTAGTGCGTATCTCAATTGCAACGTTTAAGCATCTCCGATTATTCATCATTCCCATTTTTCTCCAAGAAAATTGATACAAATTTTCCGAAGCAATTTTATGATACAACGTCGCTGCCTGAAGTGCGCATTTTTCAACTTGCACCGTTTGAGCACGGTGATTAGGTTACATTAATCTATCCTATAGGATTTCCCGATGCCGCACATCTGGCATAAAGAAGATAATAATATTTTCGTTTCTTCTTCTTTTTCCGCACTTTCTTTCAGCGCGTTTTGATTACGAAGTGACAGTAATCACTTTCAGTTGTAGACACTGACGATAATAAACTGATTACTGATACACTTTGACTCATACACTTATCGCCTCACCAATTCACATAAAGCTCTAGCCGACTCCGCCTTTGAGTTGGATGTATTTATGCTGAAAGGAACTATGTGCATAGGGTTTGCGTGCTACATAGCTCCTTTAAGCATAAATACGTCAAATTCCGCCGGGTTAAGGAAGAACGTCATATGAACATTCGAGAGTTGCCAAATTTCCCTTGCTAAAACATGTATTTTTGACGAAATTCATGCATATTTTTCCCTACAATTTTTAAATATTTTAGATTAAATGTAATCTGCCTGATTAAATGTAATATGCCTTCAAAATTGTCTGAAAATTTTGGAAAATAATGCATAATTTTCTCAGTAAATTCGATTTGTATCAAAGGAAATTTGGCAACGTCTGAAGGCTCATACGGCGTTCTTCTTTAGCACGACAGAATTGTAAAGTATACGTTCCGTATTCTTTCAAATTCAAAATATATTTTTAAGGTTTTCCCTTTTAGACGGGTCAGTGACCAAGGTTTAAATTATAGCCCTCTTGTTGGGAATCCTGCATGGATCTAGAAGTTTCCAGGAACCAAACATTTACTTTTTTACTGAACCATATTTTTTCTTTTGTTTTTGTGTGGCGACAGCGAAATTCTCTTCCACTAGCTTGCACTCACTTCAAAACGCCGGATAGAGCAAGGTCCATGTCGCGACAGAAGAAATCAAGGCTCTACCTACAAATTTTTCGTGCATTACGTTTCGCCTACAGCATCTTTTATTCGTAGGCGCCGAAACAGGCTTGTTGATCAGGAAAGAATCTGAATATTAATTAATCCAAGATATATTGTCTTTTCGACTACAGGGTGTCTTCTAAGACAGGCTGGCCAAAAATCAGTACTTTTTCAGTACATTCCGAAGACATTTGGTACTTCCTCTACGGGAAAATTCAGTACTCTTTCAGTGCCGCCATTTGACGAAATTCGAAAAATTTCAACAATTTGAATTTCTCGCTCAAAGTGCGACAAAAATTACAAAACATGAAAAATATTCCGGACCTTCTTGCGAAATTTCTGCACTTCTTCAGTACTTCCGGACCGCCCTTAAAAAATCAGTACTATTTCCGGACACCCTGCTTGTTAATTAGGAATGAAGCTGAATATTGATTAGTCCGAGATGTATTGTTTTTTCTACTAATATTTTTAGTTGATAGAAATTGAAGTCTCCTAAAACCAAAAAGTTTTCCTATAGTTGCGATTTTAAATGGATTTTGCACACTAAATGACTTCAAATCGCTTCTTCTTGGGATTTGTTTGGCCGTAAATGACGGTTGAAGCGGAAAAGCTAGAAACGCTGTGAGGAGATAAAGATCTGGAGATGAAACTGCGACGTACGACAATTACCACCGTGACTTGTCACAATCGTGAGCATAACTCAACGATAATCACTGCAAAGTGCTTGGACCCAATTACTACGAAGATGGTAAACTTATTCTAGAGAGTACTTACATAGGCTGCGTCTCGAAGGCATCTTCAAACTGAAATGAAAACAAAAGCGGTGGTTAGTATTAATACATTTTCAAATATCGACGGTGAAACTACCAAACCACGTATCTCGGTTTGCGACGTCGCAGACTTCCTGTCATACCTACTTTATTTTTTAAATGAAAAACTACTTAACGTCCAGTCTTGAAAATTTCTGTGATTTTTCCTCTTCGTGCGGAGAAAATTCTGTGAAAATTTCAAGGAATGATATTGATTTGGTCTACCTCAAAAAAATAAAATGCGAGCGTAGATTTTTAAACACCGCAAACGAGATACGTGGTTTGATAGTTTCACCGTCGATATAGTGTAATAAATTGTAGACTAAAATAAAATAGTAAGTTGAAATTTTTTTAGCCAACGTCATCAGTTTGCGTAAAATAAAGGCGTCCTGCGGGCTGATTGATGAAATTAATGGAAAATTCTATATAGACAAAGAGAAAATGGACCATCTAATAGAAAATGTGCACGCAATTTTTTTTATTGCTTTGTCTGAGTGCTCAATTTGATTTTGCAATTTTTTTTCTGACGGGAAATAGACTAAAAATCCATACATGAGTGAGAAAATGCCACCTAGTGACGTCATCTGGCGGCATTTCTCATTTCAACACATGTATTTTAACAGGTTGTATAACTCTGTCATATTTCCTCCAATGATTGTTAGATTTATGAGCCACGGCTATCCTCAGTTGACTCAGCAGTTTCCACTTAGACACAAAATTTATCTGATTTCAGACACCTGCAAAAGGTCCATTTGTAATGAACAAAGGAGATAAGTAATAGACTAACTGACGGCAGCCCACGAGACACCCATAGTCCATCATCATTTTCCTTCCCAGTCTATGACGACCACCCGTTTCAACCGATAGGATCCCCCATTTTCCCTTTGTATCCTTTGTCTATCGATTTGTCTTTCAATTTAAATAATCAATCTTCACGGTTAGATATTTTTTTTCTGGTTTTGCGTACTACCAGTTCACCACCCTTTAGATATGTCGCAGGCAAATAGTCAAATCAGGCATTTTAAAAATGCCTGGGAAGACAGTCAACTTTTCAGAGTTCACGAGGTGCCTTGTGTTTTCAGAAAGACCTCTCGAATTTCGAATATTTTAAGAGTTAAAATCCATAAAAGTACAGACTATGATTGCATTTTCCGTTCAAAAATTCTCCTAATATTTCTTCAAACGTCCAAATTGTCAGAACTATTCATTTTATAAAATGCTGTATATTTTGGGATGGATGGAGAAATGGTGCTGGGTCCACATCATTTCGCGGGGAAACAAAGCCAAGAAATTAAGGAGAAGAATTAAGAAAATTTAAGAAATTAAGGAGAAAGAAGAATTAAGAAATACAAAGCCAGCACCATTTCTCCACCTTGTTACTTACAGTTCGGGCCACTTCTTAGAGTTTTTTTCATGTTGGGATAGACATGCATCCATGGACAAAAAACTTATTTATTATTGTATGAAACAAATTTTGAAAGAGAATTTCTTCCCACGCGATCAGACAATTATTTTGTCAACAGTTAGCAAAATAATCAGGATTTCAGTCTAAGTAAGAGTATTTGACTATTTTCCTAGGCATTTAGCCAAATGCCTGATTTGACTATTTGCCTGCGACAGATACATTATAGGTAAACGAAAAATTGGATGCTTCATTGCTAGAAAATAATACTAAATCTGTAATCCCATCTCGAGAGTAATGAGCAAACACCAGGTGAGTAAGCGTGCGCAGCGTTTATTCGGTGTTCAAACGAAGACGAGTTTTTTGGCGATCATATTAATAGGTGTCATCAAGTCTCATTGAATTGGAAACGCAGACGAAATGTATAAATGCAGCAGAAGAGAGTCGTACGGACCGAATGCAAGCGGCATGCCCTTGGCCTTGCTCGACTAATTGCTTGCAACTCGGTTATGTAATTGACCGAGCTAATCACGCCGCCGATCGTTTAAGCCGCGCGCTGCACCTAAAAGTGCAAGTGCGGATGGGAACTTAATATTCGTCTGGCTCCGAAATGTCAACGCTGCGCTGAAAAAACCTGTGCGGTACAACGCGGCGCGGGCTTTTGTAACTTGCGCTGTGCCGTAACGCACGCGGTAACGGCAGGTTTGAGGGGGGGGGGACAAAGTGTGATTACATGGAGCAAAATATGCCTCCAAGAGGGAAAATTACCTGGGATAGCTGATGATTGTTAGAAAAGTACCTATTTTTAAAGCATATTGTGTCGAGAATTCTTTCCCACGCTCATTCCCGGATTTTGCCCTGATTTTCAGGAGCTCATTCCTTGATGAGAAACTGAAGTTTTCTCCCACTTCCCCAAGATTTTCTTGGGTAAAACCACCTGAATTTCCAGAGTTCCAGGAATAAATGTAGATTTTCTTTTTAATATTCCGGCAGATTCCTTAGCGCACATTCACATTTTCAATTCAAGGAGCTTTTCTGATGTTTATATTATCTGGTCATTGAAAGCGTCTCAATTTTAATTAAAAAATCAAATACATGAGCTCACTTAGAGAATTTACTTAGGGAATGCATGAATTGAAGCATGATGATTTGAATTTTTTGAGATTAATTAATAATAGCGGCTCAAGTGCGATAACACAAACCTCAATAACAAGAGATACCTACTTAAAATTTCCGCATTTGAAAACGAAATTGTTCGAAGCAGCAGAAGAGAAGATTCCCGATTTCCGGATTTTTCCCTAAGATTTTTCATTCCCTAATGAATCCTGGTTTTCCTCCGTTATTCACGGTCCTACATACCATGCTTTATACACGGAGAAAAAAAACTGGTGCGTGGGACCCGAAGTTTAGATCATATGGATCTCTAAAGTTTTCAGATTGAGCATCTGAACACTTTAGGTCTAGCTGCCGAGGTTCGGATCATACATCTGAAACTTCGGTTTTTACATCTGAAGTACTTCAGATGTGAGAACCGAAGTACTTCGGATATGAGAACCGAAGTACTTCAGATGTAAGAACTGAAGTTTCAGATGTGTGATCCGAACCTCGGCAGCTAGACCTAAAGTGTTCAGATGCTCAATCTGAAAACTTCAGAGATCCATATGACCTAAACTTCGGGTCCCACGCACGAGTTTTTTTTCTCCGCGTAGGGAGAGTACGATCACTGAAGGATCCTCTTCTGAACGGCTTAGCCATCCTTGGCTTCATGGAGTCCCAAGGATTAATCAGGTTTTATTGCATGTATCGCTGGGAATTTCACTCAAATAACTCTGTTGCGAACATTTACTCAGTTTTGGCAAACAATCCAAATTCTATTGATGGATACATCTAAATAATCGATGAGTCTATTTATATCCTGTAGTGCTAATTACTTATTTGATTTATACATCCATAGATATAGCAATAAAAACAGAAGATAGAGATTTATCTAAATATTCATTATAAACAATTTAAAGAAAGCATAGTAAAGTTTTTATTGATGTAGAACTTCAAAAGCAAGACCTCGCCGTAGAGCGCCTTCAAATCCCGGCGATACTCTTCGCTTCACCAGGCAGTTGGTTCAGTTGCCTATCCGGCCAAAATCCAACTAACAACAGGGGCCTGATTTCACTATACACACGCCATGTATTCTAGAAGAAAAAGCGTATGTTTGAATCCCAAGCATGATAATCGGTACTCTCTATTCTCTTTCTTTGCCTCTGAGCCTCTGCTTTTTACAAATTCATACGCAACGAAAGTATTTCCCCCCAAAAAGCCAGAAAGTAAATAAAAAGACATGCTCTCGTTGCGTTGTCTATCGACTATCGAGTCTTCGGAAAAGTCTATCCATATAAATAAACATATTGATTTTTTAGATGTATCCATCGATATAAATATGCAAATCTACACTTAGAAATTTTTGCTCTCTTTACAAAATCGGATGAGGAATTTTTTTTTTTATTTAAACTGGATCGTAATTGGACGTATTCATGCTAGAAGAAACTAAGTGACAAATAATTGAATAAAAAGGAACTAAGTGGATAGGATTTGCATGTATCATAGTTCCATTTAATTATTTTTCACCTAGTTCCTTTCTGCATAAATAGTCAAACAGCGGTTTGATTTTTAAAATTGATATGGGCACCCCACGAAAGACCCTTTAGTTGGTCCATCATTTTCCTCTTTAGTGTATAACAGCCATTTATTTCAACCACACGGAGGAAGAAAAAACTTCGTGCAACGAGACCCGAAGTTCAGGTCATATGGATCTGGATCCGTGAAGTCTTCCGATTGTGCATCCGAAAATTTAGGGTCCAGCCGCCGAAGTTCGTGCTATATATCTGAAGTACTTCGATATACTTCGACTGACTCCCGATAAGTTTCTACTGAAGTGCTTCAGATGTGTGACCCGAAATTTTCAGGATTGCCACAGAATTCAGAAAATGAAATTTCTTGACATTTCCCTGTTTTCCTAACAAATTTTGGTAAAATTTTCTGACAATCATGAATATGCCAGATGATTGAAAAGACGTAATTTGACATAGTTTTTACGCTTAATTTGTTGTCCGTAACGTCGAACCCATACTGAAAAGCAAGTAAAGATGACTCAATAATTATTCCCTGACCCTTACGTTATTTTCCTTGACATTTCAAGGGTTTTTCTGACTTTTCAGAATTCCTTGACAATTCTAGATATTCCCTGAACGCGTGGCGACCCTCAATTTGGCAACTGGACTTCAAGTTGTACCGCGTTTAGCAGAAAGGAACCAAGCCACATCAGCTATTGCAAAATTTAACTGGAAAATTCAATTTTTAACGAGAGAACGTTTGAGCAGATTCCTTTGAACATTTTAAGGGATTTGCTTCGTGATATGCAGAAAAATCCACTGATATTTGCAGAAAAATCCGCACGACTGTTTTCAAGTAAAAAAGTAAGTTGCCTATTAAATTTGGCAATGGCTGATGTCGCTTGGTTCCTTTCTGCTTAACGTGGTCCAGTTTTCCGATGCACGATCCGGAAACTTTTAGATATCCACATGACCTGAACTTCAGGTACCATGCACGAAGTTGTTTCCTCCCTGCGATCTATGACCGCTCCAATTTCCTTTAGTCTAAAGCTTTGTCTATCAATATCAATAATAAGCCTCCTAGAGAAAAATATTCGAATTCCCTGAACTTCAGGTACCATGTACGAAGTTGTTTCCTCCATGCGATATACGATAGCTCCAATTTCCTTTTGTCTAAAGCTTTGTCTATCAATTTCAATTATAAGCCTCCTGGAGAAAAATATTGTAATTCCCTGAACTTCAGATACCATGCACGAATTTGTTTCCTCCATGCGATACGATAGCTGCAATTTCCTCTTGTCTGAAGCTTTGTCTATCAATTTCAATTATAAGCCTCCTGGAGAAAAATATTCGATTTCCCTGAACTTTAGGTACCATGCACGAAGTTATTTCCTCCATGCGACACTGGAAAAAAAAACACATTGGATCTAGAGTCCAGACTCTTGAAAACATTGACAAGAAAAAATACTCTTGATTCAATCAGATTTAAGCTTGAATCAAAAGGAAATCCGCTCAAATTAAGAGGCTTGGTTCTTGATCTAAGCAAAAATCCGATTGAATCAAGAGTATTTTTCTTATCGATGTTTTTAAGAGTCTGGACTCTAGATCCAATGTGTTTTTTTCCAGTGGATATACGATAGCTCCAATTTCCTTTTGTCTAAAGCTATGACTATAAATTTCGATTATAAGCCTCCTGCATGGAGAAAAATATTGGAATTCTTACCTCGTCATCGAGATCCGAGTCGGAATCAGCCATGGTTATCCGCTCCATCGCTGAGCGCCAAGAAGCACCGCACCGGTCGCTCTGGAACACGAACACAAAAGCTATCGTTAGAGAAATTGGATGGAAATCGAACTCGCGAAAAGGAAATTAGTGAAAAAACCACGCGCGACCGCTCCACTCAACCCCGAATAACTGACTCGGAGAACGGTAACGACTCCGCTGGACCTTGCGATACCCCTCCCATCATCTCGGAAACATCTCACACGCCTCATCAATTTTTTTCGTGGCTTTTTTGTTCGCCGCGCACCTTTCCGCCATGCAATTTTACAAGATTCACGGGGGATTAAAAAAATTCGCGGAGCACTGTTATTCACGAGCAACGCTGTCACGTTATGGAATGAGATCTGGGCGTGTAACACTGATTAAAAAAGAAATAAAAAAAATATGATTACCCTGATTTTTAAGGCTGAAATGAAAATATTAGACTGATTATTGGCAATTTTCAGGGAAAAATATACTTGAAAGTAGTTTTTTTGGCGTAAAATTTTGTGAAAAACCAGAAAGTCCATACTGATAAAAACTCCGGTCGTCGTCGTACTTGCGTGTTACAGCTGTTATATAGATTATAGATATACCATCCACTCCCGGCTCAGAGGCCGAAAGTTCCGGATGTGGTGACCGTTGTTCCGGCCTCTAATCCCGGAGCAACTGAAGGTGCGGCTCCACCACCCGGAATTTCCCACCTCTGAGCCCGGAACGGACGGAATGTGTATTGAACCCGTGATTACAACTGTAGAGGCCGGAATTTTTTGCAAGTGCAGTAAAAATCATCTCTGAGGGGAGAAAAAGCTACTTAAAATCCGACCAATCAAAAGCCCTCATGCAGTCAAGATGATGTAGCATAGTTATGTCTGATGTTGAGTTCAGCCAATCAGCAAACGCTATTTCCCCCGCTTGGCCTAGCCACACTGCAGAGCCGCCAAAAATATCGTTTCAAATGGGTCCTGTTTTTTACTTTTTCAAATCGGCGTTTCTGCACCATTTAGGGTTTAAAAAAAACTTTAAAAAATTCCAGAAAGATTGTTTCAGTCCACACTTTTAGGCAATGCATTAAACAGAGTTGCCACAGAATTTAGAAAATGAAATTCCCTGACATTTTCCTGATTTTCCTGACACATTTAGGTGAAATTCCCTGACAACTGAAGATTTGACGGATGATTAAGAATGCATGATTGAAAATAGTTTTCAGGTAAAATTTGTTGTTCAAAACCTCAAACCCTTTCTAGAAAGCAAATGAAGGCGATTTAACACATTTTCCCTGACATTTTCGTCATTTTCCCTTACATTATTTCCCGGGTTTCCCTGACCTTTTAAAATTCCCTGACATTTCACGGTTTCCCCTGACATTTCCCGGTTTCCCCTGACTTTGGCAACTCTGATAAAAAAGAAATGAGAACCACTGACCGATTTCGTTGATTTTTGAACAATCCCAAAATCAAAAATTTAACAGATACTGTGATATTTCAAGTACGGCGGTAAGGTTCCGCGGTGCGGATGGAGAGAAAGAGGAAGGCAGGGAAGAGGAAGCAAAGGAAAACGAGCGCAAGTGCGGCTCGCGCATAGGAAACAACGAAGAACGGACACAGGTTGGTGCAGCTGTTCCGGATTCCTGTCGCGCGCCGTTTTTGTGGCCAGTTTCGACTTCTACGGCGAGATGATAAAAAATCAGGTCCGCCTCCTGACTCTGACCTTGTCATTGCTCGCATCTTAGAGGACTTGTCGTCACATTAGCCCGGCTAATGCACACGACAAAAGGGCTTAAGCAATAAGCATGCAGAAAAAAGAATCATACTCGAAGAGAACAGTACCGCTGTGCCAAGAAAAAACCTCGTATGAGCCTTCGGACGTTGCCAAATTTCTTTTGATTCAAAATGAATTTTTCAATGGGAGAATACAGGATGATCCATGGTTAAACGGCCAGACTGCAAGAGTCGAAACACCTCCAAACTCCCTCTTTAAATTGAGATTTCGATTGTTTTTTTTTTTTTTTTGATCATTTATGAATTCAGGGAATAAAAGTACAGGCAAGTACAAATTTTCGTGAGATTTGGTTCACAACCGTTTCCAAAATTCAGGAAAAACGATTTACTTTCCGAACTTTTGGAGGGGCCGTAGCTTCGACTAGGGGCATTTTTGGAAAAAAACTTGATACAGCAAAAAAGTCTTATTTTGACCCATAGAGCACGCTCATGCAGTCTGGCCATTTAACCCTGAATCACCCTATATTTTTCTTCGAATTTTGTGGCGAATTTTATTCTTGATCGTGGTACTAATTTTGTCGCCTCTTTCACACGGAAAAGCGCCATTCATCGTTGACCAATTCGCACCAGAGGCCAATCAGAGGCGCTAGACCGGACCTAAGTGGAGTCGAGTGCACCTAACTTAAATATAATTATCTAAGTTCGGAGAAGGGACCTACAAAATTAGGCCCCAGATCTAAATTATGACAAATCCAAGAGAAAATCTTCATAACTCTTCTCAAAACTAAAAAAATCGGAGGAAACTCGGCAACTTTCGAATGTTCATACGGCAGTTTTCCTTAGCACAGAGGTTTAATTCCAAGAATTAAGACAGGGAGAAAATGGAACTTTTACTCTTCGGACGGAAAATTTTAAGAAATAAGTCATCTGTTTTCCATAGAATGTTCAACAACCGCCCACAACTCTGTTTTTAATTGCTCAAATCGTTGACAATCGACGAAATTTACCTTTGACTATAAAAAAAGGACCTATTTATATTCTCTTATGCAAATCAACCGTTTTTGCGATATTCTACAGGCTTGCTGAGCTACGTACACTTTCAACAGATAGAAAACTAATTAGGGTTGGAAATCAGGGAAAAATGTATTATTTCGTACAAGACAGCGTGGATACTTAGGCCAACGATATGGGTCCAACCACGATAGTTAAGGTTTTTCTATTGTGCTGAAAATTGAAAATGAGACCAACAACTAAGCAAAATTTGTTGTAAAACACACTAATTTTCAACTTTGATTACACAACAGGTTCATCTAGAGGAAACTATCATCGCGGGCAGTGTTCGAAACGCACCTTTGAGTTTTAGGAGCCATGTGGCCTATCAAGCCCGATTTTTAGGCGCCATTGAAGATTTTTAAGAGGCCAAATTGACTTTTTGCCTATATATTGAGGCGCAATCGGTGAAAAGTTGGACGCAAGCTGTTTTCGTAACAGAACTAGTAAGTAGCTGTAACTTGGGGAAGACAAAAGCACTAAGAATGAAATCGTAAAGAATTGTAAAAGCAAGCTTTCACTTGTGCTGAAAATTCTGAGTTTTTTCGATTCAAATAGATTTGTTTTCTTTCTTTATGTGATTTTCTATGAAAATCAAGATTTTAGGGGGCAATTTTTAGGGGCCACGTTGGCGCAGAGTCTTTATTTTTCAGGCGCCATGGCCGAATTTTTAGGCGCATTTGGCGCCTGTGAATTCCGAACACTGATCGCGGGGAGGGAGGGTGTCCACTGTTTCTTTTCCGTTCAGAAGACGTTAAAAAAAAATTATTTTGAAATGCCCCCTGTCAACCTGCCCCTCTCCACCACTTTCTTCATAAGGTGGAGTCGGCCTTGCCCGCGGTAATTACGGCATTATTCATGACCGCCCTTTGTCTCCCGTGCAAAAAACTGCGGCAGAAAAAAATTGGTAACGGATTTCACTTCAAGGCCTCGGTATTTTTATCTGGCTTGCATTGCAGCAACTCCCTGACTCTTTCAGCATTTTTCTGTTGTCATTTCGCTGATTTTCTTCTGCCTTTCCCGATAGTATTCGAAATGGGCCAATATGGAAAGAGATTAGCAAAAAATCCGAAGCACTAATCAAAACGATGAATCATGCAATCAATTTTCTGGTAGAACAAGAGACAATAGACCGTATTCGATAACGGTTCGATGTATCGTTTGGTTCAAAACAATAGAACATAACCTCAAACCAAACTGTAAGGATTTAAGTTGGAAAAGCTAAAAATGAGAAATTTCCTGACAATTTCACTTTGCATTGGCATTTGGTACTCAAAAGAATAAAAAAACTGTTACAAAAGACCCGTTCTCTCAGATTTCTGAATTTACTTTTGAGGCTATGTTTATGTTTTGAACCAATCGATATCGATACAATCGCACCCGTTTGATGTATCGAATACGATCTAAACCTATATTTGAGGAACCCTGTACTGACAGTGAAATAGTTATTACTTTCAAAGATCAAAGCTCAAATTTTTCTAACGATCACTCGTAACCAAAGAGTTGATCGATTGTACAGCAGTTTGCAAAAACTCGTCTGAGAATGATTTAATCTCTTTCGATAATATTTCCTCAACGAGCGGGAAATTCAAAATGCCCAATTTTAATAGGAGCAATAAACGCTAATATCTTGAGCGGCAGATACACCTGCGAGTTACAAGCGCTCGTTGAAAGTGAAACACCAATAGGAAACCAGGAATTCGATCGCTTGACGTCGAATCGAAATCCTCCTAGCCGATTGGTGTTTCACTTTCAACAAGCGCTTGTATTTCGCAGGTGTAACTGGGCCTTTATTTACAAGTTGATTTCGGAAACGGCCAATACTCCCAATAGGTTTCGCGTGATCTTTTGACGAGGAACTAAGTCTCGTGGGGGTTTTAATTCTCTCTCTATATCCAGTTTCCCGTTCCCTCGATTTTCCTGGTATTCCAGGTCGCCATGGCAACTTGCATGTTAGCAAATGACCAGCACTTTTCCGGCTTATTTTAGAAAAGGTATTCAGGGTGATCGAAATGTCTGGCACCACTCTTGGAACCCCTAGGATTCCTGCTCCTCTTCAAAGGGACCTCCTGAAAGTTTTGGTGGTAGGGGGGTGAGTCCTAAAAATCGCCTCGATTTTGCCCTAAAAGCACTCATGAAATTTCAAGTCTCCATCTTAATTCGTTCAAAAATTTGATGCCTGGTGCTAGCGGTGTGGGACTTTTGGATGACCCTGTATATACCATTGATTTTCCTTCGAAGACGCATGATTTCAGAATTGGTCTAGAAAAT